CAGCTGTCAAATCCAGAGTGGAAAACATTGAAGCTCCTGCAACGGAATCTAGACAGTCTTGAATTCGTGGGAGTGGGAATGCATCCTTAACTGTTAAATTATTTACAGCTCGATAATCCACACAGACTCTTATTTTTCCATTCTTCTTTCTAGCTAAGACCAGTGGAGAGGACCAAGGTGATGTAGAAGGTTGTATTATGCCCCTCTCTCTAAGGTTCAGAATGGCATCTCTCTCCTCATTGGCTAGTGCTGTTGGAACTCTACGAGGTGGCTGTTTTACAGGTTTACTGTCACCAGTATTAATTTCATGTTCTACTAAATTGGTTTGCCCTAGGTCCCATTCATCTTTTGAAAATGCATCCTGATGGTCAAGCAAGAATTTCCGAAAAGCTTCTTTTTCTGACATATTTAAGGACTGGGAAGAGCCATCATACAGTTCACGTAAATGATCTGGAACCTCACATGCCTCTCCAGGCGAAAGTTCAGTAGATCGGCGAAGGCTTCTTAGGTCACTATAAACCGGTCGAATTACATTTACTATTCCCCCATATCCTTCGACAGTACCCACTACTGTGTCTGGATAAAGCGTTTTACCCTCATCAAAAGGGTTCATAACTCTCAGGGGTACACACAGTTTCCCTCTGATGTTAAGAACTGCTGGGGCAAACAGTAAGGAGGTCTTCTCCATAAGATCTCCACTTGGCACGAACATAAGGTCCTCCTCAACATCAACCTCACATTCACGCTGAATAAAAGCCGGTATTATTACTTCTGTATTCCCAGGTATATCACATCTCTCCACACAACGGAGGGTAATATCTTTAGGCACACCACGTTGTATGCATGGAATATCATGACCTTTGAACCTTATCAGTCCTTTACTCAGGAGAATATCTGCTTGACCAATATCACTATTCTGCAGGATGTCCACTCCAAGTAACACTTCATCTTGGATATCAGCTACTAAAAGGTTTTTCTTGAGGGCCAAGGAACCAAGTTGCAATTCAAATGCTCCTTTCCCATAAACATGAATGGTACTTCCGTCAGCTCCTCGTAAGTGCGACTTTCCTTGAAGTCTGGGTCTGTTCACCTCTTTGAGTTGTTCATAAACTTTGTATGAAAGTATAGTATTGGATGCACCAGTATCTGTTGCAATGTGGACATCTAAACCATTTACTTTTCCTTCTATGTACACACCATCTGCATCTGGTATTCGATTAGAAATAAAACAAAAATCTTCTGACTCATCAAAATTATCTGGTTGTCGGTCTGTTGGTGGGTCTAAACTGTTCGTCTGTCTGTCAGTTTCTTCTGTAGCCGGTCCTTGACCCACAGGAACGGCTAATGCCTGTTTAAAGGTGCCTTTGATACTTGAAGGTCATTAATTCTCTTTGGGCAGTCCCTTATGAAATGACCTTCAGCTTTGCAGTAAAAACAGCTATGTTTCTGTGGTCTGTCCAGAGGAGCCATTTGACCCGAAGACATGTCTGGTTGAGATGTACCAATAATAGGCCTACTTGGCTGTGTCCCAGTGTTGCTCTGCTTAGTCAGGTTGCTGAGAACTTTTGCCATCTCATCGACTTGTTTCTGCAAGGCTTCGATAGTGCCAACTGATGCTTGTTTGTTTCCTTGGCCGTACTTTACATTTCTGATGCGCTTCTTTTTCATCGACTTGTCTTTAGTGACTGTCTTAGATGAGGCCTCAGATTCAGAATCACTGTACAGCGACTTCACCTCTCTGACATGTTTCTTAGTTGAAGGCCGACCTGCTTCTTCATAATTTATAACCTGTCGTACAGCTTCATGTATATCTGAGGGGTCCTTGACGTATTCTACATGAAATTGGGCTTCTCTGTCAGCCAGACCATCTAAAAATTTCCTGAGCAAGTCTTCCTCTCTAGTCTTTGAGTCTCGCTCTGGGTGGGCTTTGACATACAGGCGCTTCAAATCAGCAGCAAAGTCCTCGACTCGCTCACCAGGCTTCTGAACTCTGTTATTAAATTTTGACAGATATGTACGACTGGTTTCGATTGCACGAAAACGATTGGTCAGTTCCTTTGTAAGTCTCTTATAACTACTTCTGGACTCTTTCGATAATTGGCCGTAAACAAAGTCAGCAGCATCTTCATGTAATCTGGGCAGTAATTGGTCCAGTTTGTCGTCTGTTGTCCAGTGGTATCTATCTGCAACTTCCTCAAATCGACAAAACCAGACAGACCAATCTTCTTTCCCTGTGTATGGAGGAATCTTTACATTGTGATGCTTAGCCCTTTTCCGGTACACAAAGTCAGACTGTGATGTTTCTCTGTCGCTACTCAAACACTCGTGAGACGTGCTACATGTATCTGATTGTCTGTTGTCAGGGTTGGTCCTTTGGTGGTTATCTTGTTCAGAGAGCTGTTTAATTTTCTCTTGTAAATGCTCTACCATCTCCGTAAGCTGGACAAGTGCAGTTTGCTCGCTTTCTGTCCTTGATATATCTCGTGCACTTCTCATGGGAGCGGAAGTCTGATTCAGCATCACAGGTACAGAACCTGTACACAAACTCACAGGCACAGAACCTGTACTTAGACCAACAGGTACAGAACCTGTACATGTACATGAGCTTACAGGTACATTACCTGTACTAGAACTTACAGGCACAGAACCTGTACACAAACTTAGAGGTAAATGAGTCCTCGCGCAAACGTTGTGACCTGGTGTTGTAATTGTGGGGAATGGAGTAAACATATGGGCGCTCTGGTTTTGTTGACAATAAACAGGACCTTGAAAACTCACAGTACAAGGAACTGCATAAGAGTTTACAGGTAAGGTAGTGTGGTAATTTGAACCTGTACATGAACTCAAAGTGCTGTGTTTATGAGAGTTCACAGGTAACCCATATACTGGACTTGCTGTCTGCGTAATGGAGGGGCTCATGTGAGTACCTGTACTGGGGACTGCAGGTACATACATACTAGGGACAGCTGTCGGCTCTCTAGGAAAACCTGTACACAAATTCTCAGCAAAATGTGAGCAAACAGGTACAAAAGGCATCTGAGTTGTGGGACCACAGGTGTGAAGATGGCTCATTTTAGGCGTAACTACACTGTTTGTTGTCTGTGGCTGCTCTGTAGTGGTACTCACAGTTACAGAAACTGTATCTGAGTTCCCAATAAAAGGTGTAGGTTCTCCATCTCTCACAACGTCTGCCTGAGAACTCACAAGCATTAAACTTGTATCTGGGTTACGTAAAAATTGAGAGGCTTCTTTATTTGAATGAACAAGTGGTTTAGTTCTGTGCATGTCAGCTCCTTCACACGGAAATTCACATTCGCTTTCATTTTCTCTTACAGTATCTACAGAGGAACACGAAACTCGTGAGGTAGGTCTGGATTCTTGAAGACCACGACGTTTCCGTCGACTTCTACGTCCTGCCATTGTGATTTATTTTTATTTGATTTGCTTAATAAAATTTTTGTTTCTCAAACACAGACAAAGCGTTGTTATGATTCGATCACAGGACCCGTAAATTTAAACGGATCCCGCCGTGGATGCCAAAATTGTAACGCTTCGGAACGCCTGCCTTGTGTTGAGAACAAAAACTTCGATGTAAAGTTTTATAATTTTATTCAGTAATACATGAACAGCGAAAATAAATAACAGTTTGAAATTCACAAGTCTCAACCCTCGGGACAAAAGACAAAATCAGTACAACTACTGATATAACTGGGCAACTGGCACTATTTCCAGTAATTTATAATTAAAGTATAAATTCCCCCGACCAAAATAAAACGAAAAGGCTCTCTATAAATGACTTATAATTAATTTACAAATAAATATTCCCGCTACTAGTTCAACTACTAGCACGCAGCAGAAATATTTCCTAACTCCTAAACTGGGCTAAAGAAGATAAAAATAACTAGTTCACAACTAGTAATTATAAATAAAACTAGTACAATTACTAGTAATATGAATTTAGCCTAACCTAACATTACGTATTATGTACTTCAGTCACTTAGATACTGAAATAGTACACACCTTAAATTACTCTGGACAAAACTGGCAACCTTTCTCTAGGTCACAAAGAAAACGAGAGAGCAAACGATATTCAGCATCTGGGTATTTATAGAATTAACAAAACCCGCAATAATTCATAACCAATCATAACTAATAATTCCATCCCGTAAATAATAATCAGCCAATCAAATGTAATCATCGTCCCGTAATGAAATCTCACTCTCGTACATCGTATGTAAAATTATTACAAAACATAAATAAATTAAATAAATTCATAAAACATAAAGTTACACTTTTAAAAGCTCATTTACTGTTTAACATTTAATTTAAAAGAATTTACAATCAAATCTTCCGCCGAAATAACTCCAGTAAAAATAGATCACCGTGAAGCATCACGGGAAAATACACAAGTAAACAAAGTATGGCGGCGGCAGAAGTTTCAGTGAAACCTGTGTGCTCGAAGACGATAAAAACATCGATCACACAAAAAATAAGGTAACTTTAAGATAATCCTGAATTATAGCGCAGCTTTATAATTACGTATGTACAATTAAGCCAACAAAAAGCGTGTAATTAAATAGCAAGACGATGTCTGACATTCAACACATCGAAACACAAGAAAAATGGCATAGATCTTCACTACACTTAAGCAGTTGTCAACCAACATTCAAGACGTAACTCTCGCTGGACATTTCAACATTCCATACAAGAATTGATGAATGAATTTAAAGTATGCATGAAAGTGCTTTAGAAAAATACCAAGATAAAAAAAATGAGATTCAAGAAAAAAGGGGGAGGGATCGTTACAATATTAAGCCTACATGAACTTGATGAAATAAGCATTAGGGTATTGTAATCTGTACATATACAAGTTTTCTTCCATTTAGTAGCATTTTGACTTGCTAAGGCTTTTATGTTTGATACAAATACATGTATATGTAAATTATACATCTTTTTGCAATATGCAGTATTTCATAATTAAAGTATTTTCTGTTTTTCAGCTTAGATGAAACTAGCAAGAAATTATACAAAGATACCAAAAGATGGCTAGAATCCAACTCAGGTATTTTAAAAATACATGTACATGTATCCCCCCCCCCCAAAAAAAAAAATAACAGAAATATCAACTTGAATCCCTTTTCAATTAAAATTACCATTCAAAATAACTACTGTTTCTCAGTTGTATTGATTTTCCTTGGATTTCAGCCCTGTTGAACAGTGAACACAAAATAACCCAGGATCTGTTGACCAGTCCACTATGTCAGACTGAAGCTCAACTGAATGCCATGATCACAGATTGGGACAGGGCTATAGAGAAACAGAATCTACATTCCAGGGAACTGGTTAGTTCACATTTTTCTGCATTTGAGTATTGATGCCTTATAAATGGCTGCTAAAATTAAGAGTAGTTTTCTAAAATGAGATTTTAATAGCATGACTTGACACAGGTGTAAAAGTGCTTATTCCTTGTTTTGTGTTTTCATGTACTACATACTTTTTGAGTGATATTTACTTGTTCAAATAGGCCCATGTGGTATTTCATTTATACTTAGGCCAAAATAAAATATACTCTTGTTTCCTGTCCCCTGACCAAAAAAATTAGGGTCGGTAGGTAGGGAAAAAAAATTTTGAGAAAAAATTTTATTTTCAAAATTTAATGAATGCAGAACATATAGCATGTAATAACTGTAATAACAAGAAAATGATATGTTAACAGTTTCAAAGCAAGTTTGTTAATCAAGATTTATAAAGTAAAGGTAACCTGTACACTTGTGATGTATTAATTCTGTAAATATCATTGGTCAACTTCAGTATTTTAGAAAAATAGTTATCCAAAAAATGAAAATGTAATAAAAACTTTTAGGGTCGGAGGGTAAAATGTAGGGTAGGTCGGGTGACAGGAAACAGGAGTATTTTTTATTTTGGCCTTATTTTAACTTGAAATATAGATGATTTAGCTCACACAAATTTTGATATTTGGTGAAAGTTGTGTCCCTTGGGTCTTCTTCTTAGAAAATTATGTCTACTTACAGAAACAAGTCTTTGTTTTTATGGGTTTATTAATTTTATACCAATTCTGGGATATAAATAGAAAGGAAAGAAGAGGGGTTAAGTTTTCGATCCAAAATTTAAAAAAAATCATTTCACAAAGACAAAAGTATAAAAATTTGAATAAAGAGCATCCTCCACAACTTCTAGATAGCTCTATCACTTTGGAGAATGCCACTTGGTACTGCAATGTACTGAAACTTTGTTTCACATATTTTATTGTATACTGATAATATTGCAGAATAATGTTGTACAGAAGACTATGGCAGAACCAGTCAAAAGGTAAATATACATTTTAAATATATAATAATACCAAAAAAGGCCCTTAATTTAACAAAGCTGACCAATCTGAAAAGTTAATATCTAAATAGTACACATTTTAATATATGTATTGTAGAAAAGGCATATGTGGATGTAGCCATTGTATGTTAAAATACTGTATACAGGGTTATTTTCGCCCCGTCTTAATTTCGCCCTTTCACTCTTGCAAACAGTTTTGGCCCGTGTTAAATTCGCCCAGTCATAGTTTTGTTTAAGAAATCATACTGTATTCTTTGAATTTCCCCATTTTAAATTCGGCCAAATGAAAGTAGGCGAAAAGGGCGAAAATAAAACGGGGGCGAAAATTTCCCTGTATACAGTATACATATGTATTCAACACAATCAGTTATGACGTATAATTTTTCAGACTGAATACCATATTTCCAAGTATACAAGCAGCACTGAAGAAACGAGAACAGAGTTTACAAGTAAGAATGTTTCTTTTCAACTGGATAAATACCCCTGGCACCTCAATCTAATTAAAATCTGACTTTTTAGATTTGTGCCACTTATACTTTTACGCAAAGAGAATACATATGGCGCAAATTTAAGAAGTCTGATGTTTAAAATTAGATTGCCTAGTACTTAGACTTTATATTCTTGGAATGCTGATAAAATATGTTACAGTGAGTCTGCACAAGTGTTGAGTATTGGATTTTACTATGGACTTCATTTTACACCTTTGCGTTGATATAAGATTTATTTATACTGTATACACAGATGTACTGTTGTTTTGAAGGAGTACCAGAAATCCCAGGCTAAAGTAGAGAAACACCAGAACCGAGAAAGAACCGGACAAAATGTGGTGAAATTAGATCTAGTAAGTTTTGAATGAAATTAAATGTATATATTTTGAATCTTCAGCAAGTTTCTTACAAATAAATTCATCAACGCACACATTTTCCCCTCACAGCATAATTTTTTTTTTTGGAGGCTCATATATTGCTAATGGGTTATGATTTTTCAAAAGAAGTATTACCAAGGTAATTTACAATCAAACATTTTATTTTTTCACACCTTGCTGGACAAAATTTGACAGAAATGACCATTTAATTTAACATTTTTATGAAGGAATATGATAATTATTTGTCCCTGTTTGAGTTATCTTTCCTATCAGAGGGTCAGTGAACCTTAATATTCTTTCCCTTGTAGAGTAGGAAAGCAGTGGAGAGAACCAAGGCCGACTTTGACAGTCAGAATCAGGCCTTATCTGAAGATCTACCCAAGTTTGTGGATGGAAGAATTGAATATATTCAACCATGTTTAGAATCTCTAATAAAATCCCAGGTAAGTAAACTTTAAGCTTAGGTATATTTATTTACTTGTTATAATTTTAACATTTTTTTTCAAAAAAGGATCTGATCAGAGAATAAAATTAAGGAGGGAAATAAAAATAACGTTATCAAGTTTTCAAATCTTTATGTATAGTACATGTAACATACAGAAATCAAAATCTGCTCCCTGTATAACAGGTACTTAAGGAATAACTGTCTTATTTTTTGATTTCATGATGTGATCAATCGATTGGCTTGTGTAAAATTATCATGTAAGCCAATCAATTGATCAACTTCATGAAAGAGAAATATAAGACAGTTATTCCTTATAATTACATGCTCTTGATTCCGCAAATCCACGTGCTAGAAGCCCTGCTTCTAGTCTCTATTTGTCCAACCCTGCACATGATTGTTTTTTAACCGTGCCTATAAATGAACCAGTACATTGATGGAGAAATAAAGTACATTGACTACCGTATATACTCACCTATAAGTCGGTTGAATTTAATAAGCTTATATATCAGAGGCCGACTGACCTCATATAATACCATTCTTTTTATAACTCGCCTATAAGTCGGATAAAGAGTTTTGGACTAAAGATTAACTCCCAAAAAACCGACTTATAGGCGAGTATATATGGTATTCGTAATTTTATCTCAAACAAAGAAATTGGAAATGTACGAGAGTTGTCCCGTAAAATCGTGGACAAAGCGTTTTTCTCGAAAAGTAATGGGCGCACTAAGCTGAAAATTTCAGTAAATGTTTATTTATCATATTTAAGTGCATGATAATTTTTTTGATAAAATATAGGCAAAAATAAAGATTTTATTATGCTTGAATGTGCAAGGGGTATTGTCTTACGGCGCACGGTCAAAAAACCAAGGTTTTATTAAAGAATACACCAGTTTGAATTCAAAATAAAAATTTTAAATACATAAGATTTGGATTGAAATTATCCTAATTCAATTCCACAATCAATTTTGCAGTCTCGGTAAAAAATTTAAGGCATTTGCTCAATTTTTGGCAGTTTCTCGAGCATTCGAAATGGGAAAGTGGTAAACACAACACACGAAAAATACCGACGTTTTATGACGTTACGGCGCACCGGAGAGCAGTTCAGCTTTATTTCAATGTTGTAATGACACCTTGAGAGACTTGAAATGACCATAGAAGAAAAAAGATGATAAAAATATCACTATATCTTAAGTATACAAATGAAATGGGAGTTTTCTTAGCGAAGTCTTTTTTGATCGAGTCCTTTGGGAGTACAAAACATACGGACAAACTCCTAATGTAATAGCGAAAGACGCTGTCACAGTAGACAGCCGATATGAGATTTCCTATTAGTTGAATGATGGTGAGAATATTGTCCGAATTTACTAATAAATCTTCAGAAGATCGCGTGAGGGTGCCAATTGGTTCTTCGACTGTTCATGTAGACTAAAGAATGTGTATCATGAAGTTCCTAAATTTAAGTCGGACTCATCCAACTTCATTTTCAGCAAGATAAAAAGTGACGCTGTTTTAGACACTTTGACGTTATAATCCATGAGCTGTAAGGTGCTACTATACATAGCAAAAAATCTCATAATTTGTTTATTTATGCATATATTTATCTGAAATTTGCTGTGTATATTACTAAAATATGTACTAACAAGAGGCCCATGGGCCACATCGCTCACCTGAGTACTGTAGCTATGAAAAAGTAGAAATTGGTTTATTGTTGAAAAGTTAAAATCCAAAAGTAATCCCATGATCAATCATGGATTTACTATTCTTCAAAGAATTTTCCTATATATTTCTATGTAAAACTTTGGTCGGCCATTTTGGCCCCGTCCTACCCCCGGGGGTCATGATTTGAACAAACTTGAATCTCCACTACCTGAAGATGCTTCCATATAAATATGATGAACAATGGGTTTGTCTTTCTTAAGAAGATTTTTAAAGAATTTTCCTATATATTTCTATGTGAAACTTTGGTCGGCCATCTTTGCCCCGCCCTACCCCAGGGGGTCATGATTTGAACAATTTGAATCTACATTATCTGAGGATGCTTCCATATAAATATGATGAATTATGCCTTTGTCATTCTTGAGAAGAAGATTTTTAAAGAATTTTCCTATATATTTCTATGTAAAACTTTGGTCGGCCGTTTGGCCCCGCCCTACCCCCGGGGGTCATGATTTGAACAAACTTGAATCTACACTACCTGAGGATATTACCCCATAAGTTTCATCTTTCCTGGCACAGTGGTTCTTGAGAAGAAGATTTTTAAAGAATTTTCCAATATATTTCTATGTAAAACTTTGGTCGGCCATTTTGGCCCCGCCCTACCCCCGTGGGTCATGATTTGAACAAACTTGAATCTACACTACCTGAGGATGCTTCCATATAAATATGATGAATTATGGCTCTGTCATTCTTGAGAAGAAGATTTTTAAAGAATTTTCCTATATATTTCTATGTAAAACTTTGGTCGGCCATTTTGGCCCCGCCCTACCCCCGGGGGTCATGATTTGAAGAAACTTGAATCTACACTACCTGAGGATGTTACCCCATAAGTTTTATCTTTCCTGGCACAGTGGTTCTTGAGAAGAAGATTTTTAAAGAATTTTCCAGTATATTTCTATGTAAAACTTTGGTCGGCCATTTTGGCCCCGCCCTACCCCCGGGGGTCATGATTTGAACAAACTTGAATCTACACTACCTGAGGATGTTACCCCATAAGTTTCATCTTTCCTGGCACAGTGGTTCTTGAGAAGAAGATTTTTAAAACATGCCACCAAAATTTCATTAATTCCCAATTATCTCCCCTTGAATAAGGGTGTGGCCCTTCATTTGAACAAACTTGAATCCCCTTCACCCAAGGATGCTTTGTGGCAAGTTTGGTTGAAATTGGCCCAGTGGTTTTTGAGAAGAAGTCGAAAATATGAAAAGTTTACAGACAGACAGACAGACAGACGGACAGACAGACGGACAGACGGACGCCGGACAAAATGTGATCAGAAAAGCTCACTTGAGCCTTCGGCTCAGGTGAGCTAAAAACTAGTGAAAATTTCGGAATGCAGTGATGTTCATTTTTTACACTAGACAACTTGTCAACGATTTTACGGGACAACCCTCGTAAATATAAGTTAATCAATACTATCACATCTATCTATCATGTAGATTGGCTGTGTAAATCAGATGAAAACATACATTAAAGATAATTAAGATTTTAAATTGTTCTGATGAATTTTTAGTTGTGGGACTTTCTGAACTTATACTCTTTCTTTCACTATGAAATTCCTGTAATCTTGTAGGTTTCCTATAACTCTGAGGCTCTGAAGATTTATTCGGAATTAGCAGACCAGTGGCAAACCACAACAGACTTGGGTGAACTTAAATCACGCCAGCAACAAACTTTATCAGATATCAAAGCTCTTGCCATTACTGTGGACTGAGCACAAAGTCCAGCTTGACACTTAACAGTGCAAAAATTAATAAGTCATCTCCATAGATGTGACTTCTTCATCTCCAAGACAAGCATCAGAAAATATATGCTACATTATCTGCATTCACAGTGAATATGGGAATCATACCATGCAAGTGCAACGACCAAGGATCCAAATAAGAAAAAGAAGCTACTAGATACTGTGGTTTCATCAGTATTCGTTGAGCACCAATTTTCTAGGAATTCGTCATTGAGCAGATCCATGAAATTTAATGTTCATTGAATTGAGAAATGTGTTTTTCATTTGTAATGACAATGATTTCATCCACGAAATTACGTATCCTCAAAAGCATCTGTTGTACAAAATCCACGAAAATTGATGTCAACAAAAATTGATGAAACCACAGTATATACATGTATTAATGAAAATAGTTTATTCCAGTGCTGTGTATATCCACAAATAGTTTAACTTGCATTTAAATGAGATGAATGTTTTTATGTGGGCCTCAGAGAGGTAATCAGTCATGTGGACTTCGATTTTAGTTTATTTTGCATTTCAATGTTGGCATTTTCAGTTTCATGAAATGGGAAATATGCAATATATTAGATGTTACTAATGTGTATCTGTGATATAAAACGATTTAACTTATAAAATCTGTTGGTTTTTCTTATATTTTCATAAATGAAGACAAGATTTCATACATATTACATAATGGCATCAACAGAATTCATGGCTCATGCACCTTAGGTTTTAGGGTCTTCAATTGCAATATTTTTATGAATATTACTACCATGTACTACTAAATAAAATACGATGTGAAAACACACACAACATTGTAAAGGCTGCATAAAGGGGGCGGGGCCTAACATATATGGGATATGTTTACTGCGACATCAAACAGAAATAGTTATTTCTCAATGCATATGGAGATCATAAACAAATTTCACAATCATTGTCAAATTTCAGTATCGTTGTCCTCTTGGTGTGGTTGAGCGTCTGCTCTCGACTCTTAGTAAGGATTCGAACTTGCGCTGCGGGTTCAAATGCAAGTATGCAGTGAAAAACTCTGAAAATTCTCCATTATTGACAGTTTTTTTTCCCAAGGTTCACAACTAGCTTCCAGTTCATAAAACTGTGTCATACACAAGTACACATTCTAGATATATTTACACCCATGACCAGTTTGCATTCACCAAAATTCTAGTTACACTTTCTACCGTAACAATTGTTGTATGTACTCATAAATTCACGCAGAAAGCTATCTGGCCATTTCCTGCCCGTTTGATTGTCTTACAACTACTCAGCTTCATCCCAGTTTTTAGCTACATCTTCCACAGCATGGAGAAGCACTGCATTAATACAAAAGGAAGACCAGAGTCCCGCCAAGGGTATATTAGTTATGCAACGTGAAAAACATGTCCAGCATCAGCAGAGGTATACCTTTTGCATCTGTTACCCTTATAAAAATTCCTCTACATATTTAATTTATGCACACCTTATATAAAAAAAGACAAATTTCAGCTTATTTTATTGTTGTATATCCATGATAATTTCATACATCCTGTATGTAGTTACAAAGAAATTATTCAAAAACAACACTTCTTGATGCTCTTTGTGAACTGAACAAGAATAAAAATCGAACCCCTTTTTACAAAATAACAATGACTAGTTTTAATGAACACTGTTTGAATATCAAAGTGTTTAAAGGAGATTGCTTAAGATAAGCAAATGTGCATCAAAGTTCTTATCACAGAATAAATTTAAGTACTTTGTTGAACTACACTCTAATTGAACAACTAAATGACATCCTACATTTACGAGGCTCTAATAAACATAATTCTAAACTTTATAAAAGATAATGTACAAAAATACAACAAAAGCGAACAAGAAAGCCTTTGTTATGCAACGTTTCGAACATAAAAAAAATATAAGTACATGTATGTACAATGAACACATTTCACTTATTTCAGCACCTTAAAAAAATAAGTCTTTAATAAATGCCCTTTTATATAAAACAATGTTGATTGGAAATGCATTTTGTTGATGAACACAATGCCTGTCAACACTCTCATGTTGACCACACTCTCAGTGAACACTTCACAACATAATGGCTCCAATTTATTCATAGCACAAGAATGCAAAAGCAATTTAAAATACTGAGAGCAGTAAGGGCTATGTAACAAACACTTTCTATGGCAATGGATTCAATATGACTCTTAAATCAAGTATACTAATGTTAGTCCGTACAAAAACAAGGCATGTCTTTACACTGCTTTCATCCACCCTCTCCCTTTGTTCTATATACACACTGTATAATTAAAATCTAAATTGGTCAATATCAAATATAAATGCTTAAGTTTCTGGTAAATTCCACACATCCTTATCAAATGCTGATGTCTGGCAAGAACAAAGTACAATAAGGAGGTTTCTATAAAGCTATTTTCGACTTTTCTCAGTATTCCTTCCAGTTGAGGTATTTAGAATGCATCATATCCAATCAACTGTTCAACAGTATTTTTAAAATTTGATCCTTTTTATTTCTGCTTTCCAATAAGTTCAGTTGATGACCTATATATATGTCTGGTTATGGTATCACTGAACACCAAGGAGAAAACTCAAAAACAATTTCACAATCCACAAGCACCATCAAACCTGTTCATATGAAAGCCCATCTATTTTAAGTTTTAGTAATCTCCATATTTCAAGTTTATTCCCTCTATCAGAGGCCACTTAAATAAGAGTCTGTCTACTCCAGGGGCCTGACTTGGGGATGCCTACAGGTCCTCTTTTAAATCCTTGCCGTTTTCCTGTGAAAAATTTATTTCATAATTATACATTCTAGCAGTAAACAAGAGGCCCATGGGCCACATCGCTCACCCGAGCATTGTGGCTAGGAAAAAGTAGTAATTGGTTTACTATTGAAAAGTTTGAATCCAAAAGTTTGGCCCCGCTCTACCCCCGGGGGTCATGATTTGAACAAACTTGAATCTACACTACCTGAGGATGCTTCCATATAAATATGAGCAATTATGGCTTTGCTATTCTTGAGAAGAAGATTTTTAAAGATATTTTCCTATATATTTCTATATAAAACTTTGGTCGGCCATTGTGGCCCCGCCCTACCCCCGGGGGTCATGATTTGAACAAACTTAATTCTACATTACCTGGGGATGCTTCCATATAAATATGAGCAATTATGGCTCTGCTGTTCTTGAGAAGAAGATTTTTAAAGAATTTTCCTATATATTTCTATGTAAACTTTGGTCGGCCATTGTGGCCCCGCCCTACCCCCAGGAGTCATGATTTGAACAAACTTGAATCTACACTACCTGGGGATGCTTCCATATAAATATGAGCAATTATGGCTTTGCTGTTCTTGAGAAGAAAATTTTAAAAGAATTTTCCTATATATTTCTATGTAAACTTTGGTCGGCCATTGTGGCCCCGCCCTACCCCCGGGGGTCATGATTTGAACAAACTTGAATCTACACTACCTGGGGATGCTTCCATATAAATATGAGCAATCATGGCTTTGCTGTTCTTGAGAAGAAGATTTTTAAAGAATTTTCCTATATATTTCTATGTAAAACTTTGGTCGGCCATTGTGGCCCCGCCCTACCCCCGGGGGTCATGATTTGAACAAACTTGAATCTACACTACCTGGGGATGACCACATAAATATGAGCAATTCTGGCTTTGCTGTTCTTGAGAAGAAGATTTTTAAAGAATTTTCCTATATATTTCTATGTAAAACTTTGGTCGGCCATTGTGGCCCCGCCCTACCCCCGGGGGTCATGATTTGAACAAACTTGAATCTACACTACCTGGGGATGCTTCCATATAAATGTGAGCAATTATAGCTCTGCTATTCTTGAGAAGAAGATTTTTAAAGAATTCTCCTATATATTTCTATATAAAACTTTGGTCGGCCATTGTGGCCCCGCCCTACCCCCGGGGGACATGATTTTAACAAACTTGAATCTAGACTACCTGAGGATGTTTCCCCATAAGTTTCAACTTTCCTGGCACAGTGGTTCTTAAGAAGAAGATTTTTAAAACATACATAACATAATTTTCACTAATTCTCAATTATCTCCCCTTGAATAAGGGCATGGCCCTTCATTTGAACAAACTTGAATCCCCTTCACCCAAGGATGCTTTGTGGCAAGTTTGGTCGAAATTGGCCCAGCGGTTCTTGAGAAGAAGTCGAAAATGTGAAAAGTTTACGGACAGACAGACAGACGGACAGACGGACGCCGGACAAAATGTGATCAGAAAAGCTCACTTGAGCCTTCGGCTCAGGTGAGCTAAAAAACGTTCTTACTTTCAAGGAATATAACAAGAGGCCCATGGGCCTTATAGGTCACCTGAGCATTATGCAACAACTTTCCAGCGATTTAATTTGATTAATGTTTTAAGCAAGATGCTATGGCATTCACAATTTTGAAAGAGGCACCATTTGATCATCATAACAATACACTTAGCAGTTGCTTAGTTTGTTTACTTAATACCCATAGGCAGGGTGTGGGAACAAAAATGCATTTCAAGTAATCAGTAATATTCAGCAATAATCAGTAATGCCCCAATCACACATGAACCCCTGACCCTTAGGCCTAGATCCACACATTGCACAATTTTTGAAAAGGCACCCTTGCTTTTCAAAAATATTTGATTAATACCAAGGAGCAGATCTCGAACAATTCATCCAGTTTCAGTATATAAGTACACCCCCCCCCCTATGGTACCCCTGACCCTGGGGCCTTGAAATTCACAATTCTGGAAGATTAGGGTCCTTGCTCATCATAACTACATAGGTAGTTCATCTGCTTAATACCCAAGAGCAGAGAAGAAAATTTTCAAAGATTTAATGTATTTTCACTATATAATCAATAGAGCCCCACCCTATCACTAGCACCCCTGACCCTGGGGTCATAAATTTCACAATTTTGGTAGAGGCACTCTTGCTCATCATACTTATGCACTTGTTTAGTTTATTTAATACTCAGGAGCAGAGAAGAAGATTTTCAAAGAATTCATAAATTTTCACTATAAAATCTATAGAGCCGCACCCTAGCACTAGAACCCCTGACCCTGGGGCTATAAAATTCACAATTTTGGTAGAGGCACTCTTGCTCATCAAAACTATGCACTTAGTTAGTTTATTTAATACCCAGGAGCTTTTCAAAGAAATAATGCATTTTCACCATATACTTATTTAGCCCCACCCTAGCACTAGAACCCCAGACCCCGGGGTCATAAATTTCATAATTTTGGTAGAGGCACTCTTGTTCATCATAACTATGCACTTAGTTAGTTTATTTAATACCCAGGAGCAGAGAAGAAGATTTTCAAAGAATTCATGAATTTTCACTATATAATCTATAGAGCCCCGCCCTAGCACTAGAACCCCTGACCCCGGGGCCATAAAATTCACAATTTTGGTAGAGGCACTCTTGCTCATCATAACTATGCACTTAGTTAGTTTATTTAATACCCAGGAGCAGAGAAGAAGATTTTCAAAGAAATAATGCATTTTCACTATATACTTATTAAGCCCCACCCTAGCACTAGAACCCCTGACCCCGGGGTCATAAATTTCACAATTTTGGTAGAGGCACTTTTGCTCATCATAACTATGCACTTAATTAGTTTATTTAATACTCAGGAGCAGAGAAGAAGATTATTTAAGAATTCATGAATTTTCACTATATAATCTATAGAGCCCCGCCCTAACACTAGAACCCCTGACCCTAGGGCCATAAAATTCACAATTTTGAAAGAGGCACTCTTGTTCATCATAACTATGCACTTAGTTAGTTTATTTAATACCCAGGAGCAGAGAAGAAGATTTTCAAAGAAATAATGCATTTTCACTATATACTTATTTAGCCCCACCCTAGCACTAGAACCCCTGACCCTGGGGCCATAAATTTCACAATTTTGGTAGAGGACTCAATGCTGATTACAATCATGCAAACAGTTTAACTGCTTTATGTCCAGGAGTAAAGAAGAAGATTTTTAAAGATTGCATTAATTTTAGTGGTTTTTGCCCCACCCCCCAGGCCCCAGGGGGGCAGGGACCATGAAATTCACAATTTTTGTTCCCCTTCACCCATAGATGCTTTGTACCAAATTTGGTTGAAATTGGTTCAGTGGTTGCAGAGAAGAAGCTGAAAATGTTCAAATGTTAACGGACGACGCACGACGACGGACGAAAACGGATAGCAATAGGTCACCTGAGTTTACTCAGGTGACCTAAAAATAAACATTTTTTGTTAGTTTTCAAAATTTTGTATAAATAAACTGAAAAATAGAAATTCTTAATTATTCCAGTTTTCAAGTGAGTTACTCATTAACCACAAGTCTCACCTCTTTCCCCTTTGTCCAGGGCCAGTATATACTGGAACAGAGAGGGACTGCACACCTGTACCACTGAATCTTCAGCTGGCCTGCGACGTCGGATGAAGGCCTTTAGGCCTGGGGTCAGGTTGGTTTCCAAGAGGTTTCTCAACATTTTTAACCTCTTCTCCATTTTTGTATGAGCCAGGTCCTTGTTCAGAAATCTCACACTAACATTTAAGTATTCCTCTGGAACAACACAGGACTGATGATGTACACACCATTCGCAAAGAAAACTGTACAGATACAACATGAAGTCTTCTATCAGCAGTACGCACTCCATGAGTGACATGTGCTCCGCCAGATCAATACACAGGGCTCTGGGTTCAGTGGGGATGTTCTGAGGTGGGTATACACTCTGTGCAGTCAGGTAGTTGTAAACGTTGTGAGCACCAGGATCGAGGTATCGGCATTCTCCGCACACCGTCACTAAACGCCGCAGCATACCAGGGTCAATGCTTTCTCCAGTGCAACCGTTCTTAAAGACTTCAAAGGCAGCATATGCCCTTTGTGGGTCACCTATGTCCAAGCACTGATTTATGACGAGGTGAAAATTTTCTCCAAAACCTGGTAAGATATTGCCCACTATGGTCAGTCACCAACATTTTGGTATATTTGACATTCTAAATTGTCCCCACCCCTTTTACATTTAACACACTTTGGTTTCTCAAACAATTATTTTTACATAATTTTTTTCAATTATACATATTTAGCTGGCAAAGTAGTCTTCATTGCTAATTTTCATTTCCTATTCTTATGGAAATATTTCATATTTCTTACCTATCAAGGAGTTGTAAAATTCAACTTGCTGATCTGAAATATATGGAAAACAAAAATCAAAATACATTAGCTATAAGGTACGAATTTTGAATCAGAATGCATTTGATACTACACTGAAATTTGTTTTCATTTGCAGGGTTTGTCAAAATTCTAAAAATATTCTGTAAAAATCACCAAATTTTTTTTTGGAGCAAATTGTCTTAATTTCATTTACATCTTGTTTGTGGGGACTTAATACTTTTATTGAAGTATGGTAGACAAAATATGACCACAAAAACTGGTCCATGAATGTCAGCAGTACAGTAAAACACACTTACAAAGAACACAGAATGAATTGACACTTACAGCATAGTGATTTTCATTACCCATAGCTTTTAAACATATTTTAACTCGGATATAGTAATACACGTTTATAACAAAGCAAAATCATTATCCCTGGCTCTTCACTATAAGCGTGTTTTAATGTACCTGATATCAGTATTGTTTTACTCTCACCTCTCTGAGCTTTTTGTAGGACTTTACAGATCATCATCAGTGCCATGGCTGGTCTCTTCATGCCAGTGAAGAGTTTAACGATGTTGTATAACAGTATCACCCGCTCTTTGAAGTCAGGTTTTTCTAGTTTTAAGCCATCAACAAAGGACCAGTTACATGCTATAAAAAAAAATAAAGTGCCACGCCACAGCATGATACGCCCGTCAAAATATTACACAATTATCTTTAAAAGTTTAGACTGCAAGAAAATCACTTCAACCTTGATTCTAAGATTTCCATGATTTTTCCATTTAAAAAAAAAAAAATTCTTTATCCGTCCCCTGTGCTGTAGGCATAATTATAACAAATATTACATAACTGACAGATTTCTATACTGTTTGTGTTAAACTTTGTCAAATGCCGGCCATCATAATAAACAATATCAAATTAGTCTTAACAACTTAATCTATGCCAAATTAATTTTGAAAAGAAAGGCTGGCCATCAAATGACATTTGCTATGACCAGCAGTTCTTCTGTCTAATCCCCAAAGACAGATAAGGCAGCGCTTGATCAGATAGCCTTCCTACATTGAACTCATTAATTAAACTTTGACTGGATGCTTGTCTACTCATTACTCCCTAAATATTAATGGATCTGCACTTTTTATCCTAAAACACTTTTAAAACATATAAAATACTCCATGATTTCTTTTTAGATTTAATGCCAGACAGGTTTTATATTTAATTCAAATGGTCAAGTAGGCATGCTGATTCAACCCCACCCCATAAAATTAGTTTTTAATTAATTAATATTATATAATATCAGATTATTAGTTTATTATGCAATATCAAATAAGTTTTAATTACTTTTTATCAAATTCATTTTAAAACTTAGCTAGCCACCAAGAGCTATTTTTAATCTAACAGCTAGGCTGGCTGTCCATTTGCCTAATACCCAAGGGATAACACCAAACCTCCTCACACTAAACTCATTAATTTCTCTCTAATTTGACATGCAACTTTCTGCTATCAAAATTCTTCCTGACCAGTGCTTGATAATTATGCCCATGGGACAAACTGAATTCCTCTCATTAACACTGAAATTTGTTTAAGATTGCTGTAAAGTATATGATGAAAAAATAAGTTTTTACTTGATTTAATACTTTTTAATAAGGATACAACTCTATTTTTTACATTTTTAGGATTACAAAATTTAAAATTTAAAAAAACTTAAATTTTTTAAAAATTTCACTAAAATTAAAGGTCACAGTGACCTTGAAATAGGTCGCGACACATCTTCTACCTAAGATGTATACTTTTGCCAAGTTTGATAGCTCTAGGTCTAATAGTTTTCTAGTTATGAGCCGGACAGGATTTTTCCATATTTGGCTGTAGCATCTTTATTAAAGGTCAGAGCGACCTACTTTTGGTGCGCGACACACCGTCTACCCAAGAAGTATCAGTTGACAAAGTTTGATAATCCTAGGCCTAATAGTATTGAAGTTATGAGCCGGACACGAATGGACAGACGGACAGACGGACGGACGGACGGACATGAAGCCTATAACATAATACGTCCCGTCTTAAGACGGGCGTATAAAAACAAACAATAATTTTGAAGGTATAAAGACGATTTTAAGAACAGACCAGAAGTCTCATCACTGTGCTGGTCTATATGTATAACAAAGGATGAGCAGCACTTGGATTTGAAACTTTGCAACAGACAGCAATAAAAGAATTATGTATCTTGGTGTAGTCTACTTGTGTGCCAAATTATATCAAATTTCAACAATGTAATATTTTTATTGTGTTTTAAATTTTAAAATTAACTAGTGTAAAAGGGAGCAAAAGTTTGAATTCAACAAACAGATATGAGCACGTTTAAAATACCATCCACATCTATATTTCAATTCCTATATTTTAATTCCAAGTCAGAGACAAGATGAATGAAACTCTGTATTTCCATTATGCTAGTTTGACAGTTAGGACATTCTCTTCATGAAAACTTGTACAGGAGTTATATGGAAACTCCACACTCCTTTCTCCCTACCTGTTAAAAGCTGCACAGCTTGGTAGGGTTTTTTACACCTCAGACAAACATCCAGTGCTATGGTAGACATCAGTGCGCCCTCGGGAGATTTGCGGGTCAGGTACTGGATGTTGTTTTTCTGTAGAATCTGGATGACAGCTAGACCCTCCCTCCACCACTGGGACATGGCACAGAAATGTAGTAGTTCAGCTCCAATAACGGCCAGGGCAGGCTTATTTATACTGATCATGGCATCCTCAGCTTTCTCTGAATAAGGACATGAAAAACATAGTTACACAGTTTAACGCATTACATTTTTGTTGTTGTTGCTAATTTAACAATATTAATCTCAGCTACTCCAACTGGAACTGACATGCATGTACCAAACATAATTTTTTTTCCCCATCAGGTTAATTCTGTGGACTCATGATATCTATTCAATCAGCAGCTAGAAATTATAAAGATTTCTTGGATTTCCATTGTATATCTTAAATGCATTTTAAGTAAGCTGGAACAATTTTCTGCAGAAAAATTGTGACTGCAATTGTACATCTAGTGTTAACAAACTCCTTGTAAAAATACACCTCTACAGTATACTTTTATTACCGTGTACGGGTTATTTTAGTAAGGTGCTAATTTTTGCTTATTTTAGCAATTGCTCAGTAGCCCGCCACAATTTTAATCTCTAACATAACCAATATTCTTCTTAATTTCTTTTGCATCACTGAGCCATGTGTTCGCTAAAATAAATTATACCAAAAATATTGGCATACCTTTGAGCAAGCAGAACACAAAATTTTACACTCACCAAGAAAACTCGCTATACAGTATTCAGTAAGTTTAATCAACTCTCACATTTGAACATTGCTGCTTATTACCTTTGATATAGATATTATTAACATTTTCCATAAAGCTCTTAAAGGCATCAACAAGTGTGTTTGGATTCTTCTTGTCCAAGGTAAGTCCCTCCACAAATGTCCGGATGTAGCGGGGGTCCTTTCCCTTGTCCGCGTCACACACTTCTAGAAATAGGTGGGCCAGGTATTCCCAATTCCTAGACATACTGGCACCCTGTAATTTTAAGTAAATCTTTCTCACACACGATAAAAACAGCCTAGATTTTCAATAAATCTTTCCGAAGTCAAACATAACACAAAATAGCCTTGTAACTTTTTCCTTATACAGAACACAAAAAGTTTCACTAAAATTGACTACTAGTAGTGCAAATGGAAATTTTACAGTTGTATTTCATTTCTTAAATACATGAAAATCATTCTCAATTCAACTTTAGAAGTGAGGGAAATATATGGTACCCCCCAAATTTCTAATTTTTTTGTACACATCATTGACTTTGCATACTACAGCAAAACTCGCTTAGTACGAACACGGATATTGCGAATTTACGGATATAGCGAAGTCATCTTGGATCCCCAACTATATAAATTTAATGAATTTCTTATACGGTTATAACGAATTACGGATATAGCGAAGTAATTTCATAGGTCCCTGTGACTTCGTTATAACCGAGTTTTGCTGTATAAATTCCCACTTCAGTAAAGACAGATTCAATACACGAAATTTTCCAATTTTTGAAGATTGTTGTCTTTAGGGAAGAAGACAATATACATACAGAAACAGACACCTTTATTCTATTGACATTGCTCTTCTGTTCCTCTTGATCTACTTCCAGTATTGGACTTTTGGCGTCGGAATGAACACTAGAGGTGTCAGAATCTCGTTCCCCTATGTGGCTCTGTAAGGAATTAAATATCTCTATAATTACAGTCTACAGACCTGTTCATCCAGACAATAGTGTTTTTGAGCAAATTGCTACAATTTAATAATGCCTCCAAGGTTACTGGAACACTTGCTTTAGTTGCTATATATATATAAATATATATATATATACACAGGTGACTCTCAATGGCTCGAACTCCGATCTCGAGAAGTTCTCGATCTCTCAAAGTGAACCTCCGGTCCCGTTTTTTTCCAGTGTATATTAACTAAGCAAATTTACTTCTGATCTCTCGAACTTCTATCTCTCGAAACTCTCTATCTCTCGAACCAAGACCTGGGTCCCGTTACACATTTCATTGATTTTTACTCTCAAAGTTTTGATTGAGCGTGTATTCACACCAATCAAGCATAAAATTGATGCAGCCTGGACTTACCTGGAAAACAGTGAACGCCTGGGGCTAGCGTGTAGGTGATTATTTGATGTTTACGTAGATGACACTACACCTATAGGTCGTCCATGTGTTGATAAAATTAATTAGTGATTATAGGTAAATTATAAACGAACTGACAACTTATTTGGACTTGCATCAGAGGCGATAATTTTTAGAAAATAATTTATAGACGTTCGTTTCAATAAGTTCCCATAGACTATAAACTTTTATTAGAGTCTACATAATCCCAGAAAGGCAAATATTGCACAAGAAATTCATTTCTAAAGGACTGAAAATCTGGTGTCAGTGGTGAACACTGGTGAAGGACCCGATCAAGCCGCGTGATAGCAAAACCGACAATTGCTTTTCAGGATTCATGTATTTATGAAATAAGAATAAATTTGAAACTTTAGGAATTTGTTTTATTTATTCGAAATACGATCATTGTTATTGAAATCAAAGAATTACCTGTAAAATACGATTGAAAATGTGCAATAACTTTATTTACATATACTTCCTGTATTTATAATAGTAGAATATCGATGATCGGAACAGAAAAATCCGGATTTAATTTACTGAGAGTCACCTATATATATATATTTTTTTATTTTTCCCGATCAAATCAAGCACACAGTGGGTGTGACCTGTCATAGGGGATGCTTACTCCTGATCCAACCTCTGACTTTATGTCTGCTCCCAAATTATATTGTTTATATGGATTTTAGCATTAAATAGCTAATTTAAAGAAATATTAATTTTTAGCATTAGATTCCTTTTAGTTATCTTCCATTTCATCCACCTTTTGTTTATAAAACATCAATTATTCCTCACATATTAAAAGATGAACATGAACGAGATATTTCAGTACATCAGTGATCAATATAGGAAAACCTTTACGAACCTCTATGAGGACTGACTGTGTTTTCTGGGCTACAGTTCGTACTATATTGGCTGCTTTCAGATGATGATGTTGTATGAAAATATCAGCCACTTTACCCAACAACTGAAAGTAAACAGCAAAATCTAAATCATATTCACAATACCTAGAAAGATGGAGAACAAGGCAAGAAGGCTGATCAAGGGATCAACAACTGAGGATTATAGGGGTTCTTCTGACCTCCATATCCTGGTTATACAGCTGCTCCTGGTCACAGTTCTCGATCCACTCCGAGGCCTCGGGGATACATGTGTCTGGGGTCTCTAACACGGCACCAAGAGCCGACTGGGTGATGTACACAGGAGGAGAAAAGCCAGGGCGACAAAGGCTGTAGTTCATTACTTTCCATAACTTCAGCCATAGCTGCTTCTCTTGAAATGCTCTAAAAACGTGATAGTACAAAATAGTTTATTACAGTAGTGGAAAAAAGTCCTTTATAGCAAGAGTACGTACAAATACTGTGAAATCACCAATTTTCGTCGAGGTTAAATCTTCATTGTTTTCGAATTATGAAGAGACCCACGAATTCATGTCCACCACGAAATATAAAATATTACGTACATAACTGCTTAACAATTCTTCATCCACGCATTTAAATCCCCACGAACCAAGAGTTTTTACTCAAACCACGAAAATTTGACCCCACAAAAATATGTGATTTTACAGTAACTCAGAATTAACTCATCATAATAAGTGGCATGTACAAGTGAAGCAAGTCTTACCAATTAGGGTTGGACACCGGTACACGGTACCAGTACCGTATCGAATAGTTACTTCAAAAATACCGGTAAAATACCGTTTCATTTAATACCGGTACTGATAACAGTATTTCTTAACCTTTAAAACATTGTTATACATTTAAAATTATTTTTTAACTAGAACTGTCCAAACAGGACAAAATACCCCCCGCTGGGTTTTTCAGAAGTAAGTTTTTCCATAATAAAGATATGCATCAAACATGAATTATGAAGTTTTTATTCCAGTGACCTTGAACTTCCCCTAATAACCTTGGGTCAAGGTCATGACACACCCTTGGGTCATTGGCAATCTTTCAGTAAAATGAGAACCTTTCAAGTTTATCCATAAGAAAGATATGAACCGGACTTGAATTATGATATTTTTCTTCCAGTGACCTTGAACTTCCCCAAATGACCTTGGGTCAAGGTCATGACACACCCTTGGGTCATGGGCAATCTTTGTGTGAAATGAGAACCTACCAAGTTTATCCATACGAACGATATGGACCGGACACGAATTATGAAATTTTTCTACCAGTGACCTTGAACTTCTCCAAATGACCTTGGGTCAAGATCAAGACACACCCTTGGGTCATGGGCAGTCTTTGTGTGAAATGAGAACCTACCAAGTTTATCCATAATAAAGATATGTATCAAACACGAATTATGAAGTTTTTATTCCAGTGACCTTGAACTTCTCCAAATGACCTTGGGTCAAGATCAAGACACACCCTTGGATCATGGGCAATCTTTGTGTGAAATGAGAACCTACCAAGTTTATCCATAAGAAAGATATGGACCGGACACGAATTATGATATTTTTCTTCCAGTGACCTTGAACTTCCCCAAATGACCTTGGGTCAAGGTCATGACACACCCTTGGATCATGGGCAATCTTTGTGTGAAATGAGAACCTTCCAAGTTTATCCATAAGAAAGATATGGACCGGACACAAATTATGAAATTTTTCTTACAATGACCTTGAACTTCCCCAAATGACCTTGGGTCAATGTCATGACACACCCTTAGGTCATGAGCAATCTTAGTGTGGAGTAGTAGATTCTAATGTCCCTCTGTAAGAAAGATATGGACCGGACACGATTGCACAGACAGACAGACGGACAAGGTGATTCCTATATACCCCCCCCCAAACTTCGTTTGCGGGGGGTATAAAAAAGATTCCAGACTCGCCAAAATGGAATTCTCCGTGCATTGAAATGGTAGGCTAATTAATGAAATCAGTACTAAGTAAGATACTTCCTTTCTACAGCCGATATTCGAGGGAAACCTATGCATATTAAAAAATATTTACAGTCAAACTTGTCATAGCGGTCACCTCTATCCAGCGGTCACCTTCCTATGCGGTCAGTTTATTTCCTCCCAATGAAATTTCCTATATAAAGTAACTCTATTAAACGGTCACCTGCGTAACGCGGTCAGCGGTCATCAAATTTCAAACGAAATCGCCACTTTTCCCTGTCTTTAACGGCCATTCTGTCCAATCACGTGACCGGATCTGGAGTCAGCTGATTCCCAATTTTTGTTACTAATGTAAATTATCAGTCAAATGTTGCAGGATCGTGAACAAATTTAATAATGGACTTTATTTACTACAAATTATATTACTGGATAAGCATATTCATGAATCATTTTTTCAAACCAACTGCTTTTATATTTTACAAAACGTTATGCTCATGACGAAAAAAGTTCACAGCAAAAAACGAATACTAACTTTAGTATTAGGCCTATCGATAACTGATTATCAGGGTCTTATAACTACTGGAATTTTAAAAATAAAACGAACAACGTTTTAACTATATTCATGTATTAATAAATATTATATTTTTGTTTACCATTTACAGCGTCAATATCGCGCCCATGAACTTGGCGTGCTCTTAGAGTTGTAAATGTAAATATTACGCTTCATAGGAATTTTAATTTTCACACCTAGGAAACTTGCATCATTTGATGAAGCCATAATTATGGTTTATATACACATTCTGGCTTGGGTGTGTTGTGAATTTCACAAAGGAAAACGACCGTTAGAGATTAGTAACGCTTCATTGCTTAGGACACCTGTGCACCTGTTGATCAACTGAGAGTACGTCTGAGAGTTTATTATGCAATAAATCATGCATTAATAGTTGTGTACATGTATTTTAAAAAAACATGTACAGAGGTTAATTTTATGAATCAAGTTTGTCTGTTTGATGATATAATTTTTTTATTGATTTTATTCATTCCTTACAACAAGAAAAAAAATGTTTTGATGGGGGATAATGCAACACCCTATAAGACATAGTGTAACATTCAATCTACAGGTTAACAGGTATTTTATTAATTTTCTTGGATTCATTAAAATCCATAAAAGTAATGCATCTAATGAATAAAAAAAATAATTTAAGTGAGATCACTAATGTCCAATACATTCTTGTATATTTGTAGTGAAATACATAATATAAACACAAAACTGACATATTAAATTTGTGAATAAATTCTTTTAAAAAAGATGAACCTCTTTTCAAAGGTCACCTCTCTTTAAAGGTCACTTTTGAGGGATCCCGTGGGTGACTGCTTAATACAGGTTTGACTGTACATTAATCTTGTTTCAGTTTTATTAATAGAAACTGATAGAAATTATTAAAAAGGCAAAACGTTGCGAATTTGTGATGTCATCTCTCTCATTTATCATGTTTCGTCGTTTAGTGCTACCTGTTGCGAATTGTCGCAATTTTAATGTATTTTCTAGAAATTGAATGATGTACAGGTATAATCTAGAATGTTCTAAATGTTTCGTGAATTAATTATCAAGAAGTCTCTAGAATATTTAAGAATGTGATGATCTAGAATTTTATCGTAGTTTCTATTTCTAGATGTTTCTTCGATACTATTTATGTAGGGTGTTGCTAAAACGCGGAACGGAAAACGGAACGGAAAGCGGAACGGAACGGAAAACGGAATATGTTTGTTTTAGATTAAATCACTTAAAATGTACAAATTTTATCATAAACGATAAATCATATGCATCTTTTATCCCTCATTATTAAGTACAAGTTGATTTAGTAATGTTCAGTCTCTTATTCACGGAAATCGCTGGCACAGCTGTAACGTAGAATTAAATTTGAAATTGTGTGTGTGTGTGGGGGGGGGGGGGGGGGGGGGGGGGTAAACTCAACTGCAAAGAATCTGACAAACGAAAAAAGACAATTGTTTGATTCGGGAGGGGAACAACCTATTAATTCCATGAACTAAACTTGTGTAGGTTTCAATGAACATTTATAAAGTAAAAAGGTTATTTTTGGAAAAAATTGGGGAGGATATATTTGAAATCTAAACAAACAATGGTAAGAGAAATAAAATGTAAAAAATTCTTAAGATTTACCTTCCTGGCAAACTGGGGTAAACATTTCTAATGTTATAGTGGTTGTTAAAATTTTATACAAAATAGAGTCGCTTCCTTTATATTAAAATTCTGAAAAGATAAGGTTGGAAAACTTTTCTGTGGTAAATTTAATGTAGCATTTTTACATTCAATAAAGTTAAAGTTTGTTTCTTTATGTGGTACATGTGTGTACGTGTGGGGGTATTTGAATGACTTTGTAAAATCTTTTTAAAAGTTTTTTTCCCGAACATTGGAAAGGTCTGTGAAGTTGAAAAAGGTCCGCCCCTGTCCAAAAAATACATAAGATTTAGTAAATCAATTAGTGGGTTTGGGCACCTATTATATTTGTATTTACTGATATCAAGTATAGTTTTTTTTCCATCTGCCATATTCCGAGACAGTATATCTTTTTTTTTTTTTACGAATGAACTCTCATTTCTAATAAAAAAAGGGAAAAAAAGTACGATACGATGGATACTCAAAATTTGAGTCTAGAAAGTATGCACATGTATTTTATAGACCATTGCATGCACACGAGCCAGTGTTTACCATAACTTTGTATAAGATATGACTTTTATATAAAGAATGTTGCTTTTATATCTAATTTATATCGAATCTAGGCTATTTGTTTAACATAAATTTTCCGTTTTCCGTTCCGTTCCGCTTTCCGTTCCGCTTTCCGTTCCGTTTTCCGTTCCGCGTTTTAGCAACACCCATATATATGAGAGTTTTCGTGATCTTGATAACTATTGAGTTTATCGATTTTGTATTGAGTTTACATTGAAGAAATATTGAATACATATCAGAAACCATCTGATTATCTTAGCCAATGTGGTATTTTGATTGTTAACCCTTGTGGATTTGTTATTGCCTTTAATCGTCATAATAAATTATAAAAAGAAGATTTCCGTGTGATTGTGATTCGCCACACTACCAAACAAAATGGCGACCGGATGAAGCGATCAGCTGTCATTTAGCAGAGAATTAGACGGCGGTGTTTGTAATCTTATTTTTAGCCGGGCTTATTGCTCAAAGAGCAATTGCCGGCTTATGTGATCCTGTTCAAGGCAGGATGTTAACCCCATAGTCGCCATTTCAAAGTTACATGCAAAAATATAGTTCTTACTCTCAACCGCTTTGGAGATAATACAAACGCTAAATAAAGCAACAAAAATAAAACATTTTATCTATATAAAATAAACAGTAGTAATGACTTTGAAAACTTCATAAGTCAAAGAACATAGTTCATTAGCGCAAGGATTTTTGATAATCAATGTTATACCGTCATACTTGCCAACCTCCAGCCTGTAAAAATCTGGTCATGACCAGATTTGGAAAGTAAAAAATCTGGTCATTCACGACATATTTACCATGATTAAATTTTATACATATATATACAAAGTATTTGTGTATTGGAATTTTTTTTATTGAAAAAGGATTTAATTTACTATGACAAAAAATTCATACATAATTTGATTTAATTTACATGTAAAAAATGAGAATTGAAGGATTCATATTTCAGTATTGACCTGAAGTAAGTGTGCATTTTTAGAAAGAAAAAAAACCTTTTCAGTTTCTGCTAAATTTGAAAGTATACGAATTTCAGTTTTGAAGTTATTTTTCCTCTCTCTTAATTAATTAACTACTGCAATTTGTTTTAAATGTGAAGTTAGGCCTACACTTTCTTCGATCACTTTATTTTATCTAGAATGAAAGTCTTTTTTCCAAGATTCCTTGATATGTAAATAAATATCGTTTCTTTTTTTCTTGGTTCAATCAGAGATATAAATCAGAGACATGTGTTTGCTTCAATTTGTTCCTGTTGGCCCTGATAACGATCTAGTTCTATCGGAAGTCATTTAAATTGACTTTAAACCTTGATTTGTCAAAACAACACCCAGTTAATTGTTTACACCTGTACTGATAATTAATCCATCGGCATTGTTTACACAGATCTAGCTTGGGTTGTAACTGGAAATAAAGAGTGCAACCTAATTTACGAACCAAATCCGGAAATCGGGAGATTTTCGGGTTGTTCGACAAAAATCGGGTGATAAGCATGACCCGCTGGGTCATAAAAAATAATCGGGTTACGGGTTGAAAAATCGGGTGTGACCCGACGAAATCGGGTGAGTTGGCAACTATGTATACCGTAGTTCTCTACACATACGTGGTAAAGCAGGAGAGGGAACCAGACTGGCCTGTTTGTTTACATTCAACTGCGGTACCAGATTAATTCTGATTCTGACAAAATCGGACCTTGGTATTAGGATTGAAAAACTCACTGTCAGTGTCTTATCATTTATATTGATAGTTTTAAAATTTTTTCATCAGAATATAAACGTGATTCATGTAAGAAATCCATTCTACACTGTAAATGAGCCCGGCTCTCTGTACTTCTGAGTACTTCGATTTTATAGAGATTCAGATTAATTTGTTTTGTTGATCATTTAATAAAAGGTTGAATTATAGAGATAGAATATATTTAACACATTTTAGATTATAATATTGAAAGTATGGTTATAAGCAGTGATAATTATTCATGTGTCCCTCCATACCATGCAAACAAAGAAAATTAAACAACACAAAAAAGTAAGCGATTTCAAATTAACTTCATGATCAATAAATATTTATTATTGAGATTTTAATATTTCATTCATGATTGATAAATAACTGATATTTCTTAAGATCATATTTTTGTTACTTTAGAAACCACTGTGGTTTACCTGAGAAGCACCACAATATTCTGACCAGTCAGGTATTTGTCCAAATTCTGTACACAGGAAAACAATTTCCACATTTCCTTTTCATAATGTCCAGGAGAGAGACTGCACATCGAGATCAGCATTTCATGAAACCTATAACAGTAACACGTAAATAATGAGTTCATGAGATTCCATTAGCAAAATACGGAAGGAAAAGTCTATCTTTTGTTAAATGACATGTAGTTTGTATAAAAGAGCATATATAAATATGAAGTAGGAAAATATTCCTAGTAATAAGTAAATGCTGTTGCAAAACATACGCAGAAGTGAGTATTTCGAACACAAAATACAAAGATTTGAAATATTTTCCATGTTAATAATGAAGAGGTTTTCGAATTTCTAAATGTACGTGCATTTACAGAGCTTCTAATTGAAATATTTTTCCTGTGTTTACACTGAGAATAAAGAAAAACAAAATGACTACAAACTCGATGGATTTGATCTTTTCCACATGTCTGAGAAGGTCCAATGCCATGTTCATATCGCAGTCCTCCTCAGCTAGATTCAGTAACATGATGATATGTTTCGTCGGAATCATGTCCTGTAACTTCAGGTCCAGCAAGGTCTTATAGACGTCGTAGGCTCTGTAAAGAAGAAGTGAAGCTATAACATTTTGCTTACCATCTAAAATACAGGAACAATTTCCTCATTTAGATTCTAAACAACATTTTTTTGCATTAAAAAAAACTACAACTAGTAACATTTAGTGATTAAGTAGCACTCCTTTTTATAGAAGTTACTTGCAGTTTCAGAATTTCATCATTTACAAGTTTGTGTCCCCCACATAAGGAGAAAAGATGAGGGTGGAAGATGCAAGAAAAAATTAAAAAATCAGAATTAAACATCTTGATTTTCTTGAAAACTTACCTTGCCTTGTTACCCATGTTATGGTAATTAGAAATTTCCAGGATACCTTTTTTAAACAGTTCTTCCTACAAATGCAATAAAAGTATTGTACAGCTTTCTGAAGAAATGCACAATTATGAAGGCAGCACATTACACAGATAAGGATATGGCATGTGAGTAGAGAACAGTAATTTATTCTATATTATCAAAATCTAGCTGCAGATCTGTAGCGTTATGGTTTTATATATATTTGTCTTTGACCATAACACTACAGATCCTGTAATGCAAAAAAGGTGCAATTTACGGCGCAATATTTTTTGCGCACTTTTTGGGAGAATTTCTCCACTTTCTAGCATATATAAAATATATAAAACCATAACGCTACAGATCTGCAGCTAATCAAAATCAATCTTCGAGTGCAGTTCATTACAAACCGTAACATCATGACAATATAGTAGATCACCTTATTTTAGTGAAACCTTATTTTCATGAAATAAGTATTTGTAATTTTGTTGTATATATAATAAAAATTATTCAAAAATAAATTTCTTGTGAATAAAAAACGATTTGCAATATAGAATACTGTAAATCATGTTTTATTCGCGAGAACTTTATTTTCGCGTAATTACGCGAGACATCAGCTCGCGAAAATTTCATTCTCGCGTTTAAAAGTTTTCCTTACGATTATATAGAGGAAAACAACAATTCGTGAAAATTATGTCTCGCTAATAAAGAGTCAATGACCATCTCGCGAAAATAAGATGTCGTGAAAATTTAGTGATCTACAATACATGTAAATTCGAGTTGTAGCACATTATAAGACACTGATTGAAGACTGGAAAGAAAACTTTTATTAATCTTGAAATATTCGCACCTTAGATGGCACTTCATGTCTGAACATACACATGGGCTTCTTACAAACATTGCTTTGAATGAATTGGAAACAGAATCCTTTAGGAATAAGGTCGGTCATTATCGTGTTACATTGGAAGTCAATGTCTTCACATTCCTGTTGGATAAAGCAGCATTCATAATCATAAGTGGCACTGCATTCAAACTCTCTTGTCATTCAAATTATTTCCTTTGTTTAATTTTTTAACTTACATGTTTATGCATGGGGAAAATCATAATAATATTGAAATTTGTACTTCCACTTATAACTATCCACATTTTTAAACTTAGGGTTTTTTTTTTAAATCATGAATCACAGAATCTCAAAATATTTCAATCTTATTCACCTAGTATTGCAGTCAAAATGATATCAATTCCTGACCTAGAAATGTGAATGCTTTCAACAAATGAATTACTAAATTTATGTTATGAAGATAAAAACAACTTACAACTGTGCTTTCCATGACATATACATTCTCTGTTCCACTTCTTCCATCTTCATGTGTCCTACAAAATCAATCAGGTGTGACCATATTTGATTCACTTGAACTTATATGTATAATACTTGTCTTTTCCCCGCATTTTTATAGATCCAAACTAAATTCCTTAAGTGTCAATGAAACCAATCATTTAAACAGAAAGTCAACAACTGAATACCCTATGATGCATCACTTCGACAGCAATTATATAAATATTATAATTAATTCATCCAGAGAGTGATGCAGCTGACTTACTGTGTTGAAGGCACTTCATCTTCCATCTCTACTTCCATTACATTGTCATCTTCTTTCTCTCCATCTTCCTCTTTATCTTCACCTTCCTCCATACTTCCATCTTCCTCACCAGGTCTATCTTCCCATTTATCTTCTTCTCTCCCCTCACTTTTCCTACTTCTACTCTCCTCTTCCTCTTCATCTAACCATGACTCCTCATCCGAGGCCAACACATCGAGGACGTCTACATCTGTTTCTATTGTTGTGTGCTTGGTTTTGTTTCCTCCAGACTCCTCTGTAAAACAAAGATTTTCAAATGAAGACCCTTAAAGCTGCTAACACTCATTATTAACGTTATTACAATACCAAAAACAGAAAGTTATAAATAAAATAAATTTTGCATTTAAATCTTTTAAGCAATATTGTTCCTTATAATTCTAACAAACCTTCACTTTCAGATTCTTGGTCTGACTCCTCAGAGCTTTCACTGTCCTCACTCCCACATTTCTCACTCTTCTCCTCCTCCTCCTCATTGTCCTCTTCCTCAGACTGATCCTTCTCCTCCTCATCTGCTTCTTCCTTGTCCTCAATCATTATCATGTCCTCCTCTTTATCATCACCCAATTCCACAACATCCTCTGTGTTATCCTCACACTGCCTTCCTTTTTCTTCCTCCGTCACACCATCCACTTCCATCTGATCATCCAGGGGCTCGCTTTCCAAAACTTCTACGGAATCTTCTTCATTATCCTTGGTCTTGTCATCTGCATTACTATCTATTGTTCTGTTATTGCTTATTTCAATTTTCTTTTGAGGGTCATTTAGTAATTCTGGTTTGGAACAATTAATATCACTGGAAAAAGTTTTAACATTATCTGGAATGTGAGACTGTATTTTAGCTGAGATTGGAATGTTTGGCTTCAGAGGAGTACTAGTGTATTTTGGAATGCCTCTCTTTTCCAGACCAACTTTTTCACCTTGATCGGCTACTTCATTTTCATTCCATACATCTGTAACAAAAAACAGACCAATCGAATATTTCACAAGAAATCTAAATGGCAAAACATGGTCTTATGCTTTAAATGCATTTTTTTTCTGAACTTCTGTGCATGAGTCTTTACCTCTAAAATGCAATCAGAAAGATACAACATACATTTTAAGTGCAAATTTAGAAGTTAGACCTAGAAGTCAAGCAGACCAAAATTAAAATATTTTTTCTTCAACATTGCTTCTCAGCAGTGTTATCTGTGAATTTTGAAATAAATTCCAGAAATCATCAATATTTTATAGGCTATTGAAAATTTGACTTAAGTCTGAAGTTTGTTTCATGATCCTGGGGCCTGAACCTACCTGATTCCCCGGTGCTGCTCACATTGGATGATACAACCGGTGGATTCTGGTCCTCTGTATTCATGTCACTAACCACTGCCTCCTCTGCTGGTGATGTGCCTGTTTCAGATCTAGCCTGTTCCTCTTCAAGGTACCTGTCAGGTGTGGTGCTATCGGGGGTCATCATATCTTCCTCTCTCACACTGCTTGCCTCCACTCTTGGTCTCTTAAAAACAGGATCTTCCTCAAAGTCTGCAGCTCGCTTGACGCCAGTGGAAGTGGAAGGTTCCTCTGGTCTGTAGTTCTTCAATGGTAGAGACAGCACACCAGAACTTTTCTCTACTATTGGAGGATTTTTCATACTAGATGACATGATAGAATTGTAGATTTCCTCTACATACTGGTTTCCCAAACTCTCCTTCCTCGATGATGCCACAGAAATTTGTCCACTGCCAGTCATACCCATAGAATATCCAACCCTAGATTTAAGCTTGTTAGTTGATCCATCCGGTTTGGCTCCAAAACAAAACTTTTCCACATGTCCAATGTCTTGCAATGGTGACTTCCACTTTGTTAAAGTATCAATTTCGGCAGCTGTGGTCTTGGGTATTCTGAATGGCTTTGAAGAGGGCACAATGGATCTCCCTTGTATAGCTGCTAGCACTTCCTCTCTTTCAGTTTTGTCTTTAGCCACTTTGGATTTCGAGCCAGACTTGTAAGGTGGTATTTTACTTCCAGTACCAGAACTGGAATTGGAGCTAAAATCCCTGGGTGATTCATTTCCCTCCTCAGGACTCTCATTCCCAGGTTCTGGTTCATCTTCATTAATAACCAGCTCATCAGGTTCACCTCTAGACTGTTCCTGGCCATTTTTCTCATTTGTTGTCTTGACTTCCACAGGCTTGGGCTTCTGCTGCAAGATTTCTGCAAATGAAGGTAGAGGTTCCTCTACAGTTGGAACCAACTTCAGGCGTTCCAGTTCCTCTTCCCTGGCCTTATCTCTCAGAATTTTCTGGACAATTTTTGACTTAGGGACCACTGCTCCTATTTCTCTAGGCTTTTCCTTGTCCTCTTGATCTCTCTGTTTTTTCTGATGTGTATCGGTGACTTTGGAGTGTTGAGATTTACCAACTTCTTCACCATCAATTCTTCCCTGCTCTTTTTCACTATCTGCTGCACTGTGCTTACGTTTCAACTTTTTATGTTTCTTCTTAGGTTCCAGAATCGCTCTCTCGAAATCTGTTAAAGGTGCTGCTGCCACATTTGATTTTAGTTTTATCTTCAGCTTAGCTTGAGTATCTTTGTTAACACTGACATGTTTCTTCTTTATTCTTTTTGATTTAGATGACTTTGTATTATCTTTTGGTATTCCATGGTGTTCTCCCCTTGACTTCTTAAGTACAACCGTACTTGATGAAGTACTTGTCTCTTTGTGGTGGATTGTCCAACTACTTGATGTTTCCCCAGAGGACACCTGTTCAGAGATGTCTCCTGTATTTGTCGAACAATTTTCGCTAGTTGCACCTGGACTATTTCTTGCATCTTCTTCATAAGATGCTGCGCCTTCCCCAGCAAGTTCACCTGAACCCTCATTCTGATTTTGAGAATGTTCTTCCTTTTCCACAATAGCAGCACTAGAATCAGGTAGGTGCTTCTTTCTCATTATTCTCCAGGTATGTTTGTGGATCCTTTTCAAAGTCATGTCTCCAATTTGAATGGTTTCCTGAAGTTTCAACCTTTGGAGTACTAAATGGGCATCAACATTATAACCTGTTAATCTACTAATACTCTCCCTGATAAGAGACAAAGGAAGGGAATACATGGTGTCCTCCTCATTACTGGCTGTCATTCCACCAAAGACGTCTGCCCCTTGTCCAGTGCTTTGGATATCAAAGATTTCCACCTCCCCTGCCACAACCTCCTCTTCTAGTGGAATGCTATCCACTTCTTTAGACTTTTTGTCAATATCAAAACTCCTGAATTCATCTTCTGGATGACATGTGGCCTTATGGCGTTTCAAGTTGGACTTCTGGCAGAAGTTGATATCACATTTATGACAGGGATACTTGATTTTCTCCTCCTTCTTGATGAGGAAACTGGGCTCAGTGACCTGTATACTTGGTGCTTCCCTATCTGGATCTTCTGCACATTCCATCAAGGTTACCAAACTAGCGAGAAGGTCCTGCTTGCCAAAATTTCCTTCTACGATGGTGGAACTCACAATTTCATCGTCGTTGACTGCTTTGACTTCCAATGCTCTTAACGGTTTTACAGATGTACTCTTTGGAACTACATCCTTACAGACACTGAGGGTTTCAGGTAATAACACATCCTTCTTTGGCTGAACCAGAGGCAGGACATTCCCATCTATCTCGTCCTCTTCCAGAGCTTTTCTTTTTCTCGCCTTTTTCCTCTCTGATCGCTTTTCACTGACTTGATCCCTCAGACTACTCAATTCATCCTTGTTGACTGGAACAACACTGGCCGAGTCCGCATAAATAACTTTGTTTTCATGAACAAAGAGAATCTGTGACTGGTTGTTCACAGCGTCTGTTCTATGAACAAGAGCCCTGTTAACGTTCACATTTTCCAACATCTCTGTTGACAAAACTTCCTTTTGGTTCTCTAAGCTTTTAACTTCATCTGATTTTTCTTGGTTTTCACTGATGGCAGCAATTATTTCATTATCTTGATGAACTATTACTTCCGTTTTCTGGACACCTTGATCAGTGGAAGCTTCATCCTGTTCAGTAGTTTGCTGTATCTCTCTTTCATCCACATCAGATTGACTCTGCATTCCTGGTTCTTCTTCTTCTTCCATTGTTTGCTCTATCTCTTCAACAGAAACTCTGTTCTCTATACCCTCTGAAACTATGGAAGCAATCTCTTTCCTCTCTGGCATTGGTTTCGAATTTTGTTTCAAACCAAGACATTTGAACAATCCTTCTCTGTCTCCATCACCTGTGTTTTTTGAGAGTTCCTCAACTTCCTCTGTTTCTTGACTTGTCATTACAGGTGTTCTGCTTTCATCATTACGTGCCAATAGAGAATCTGCAGAGAGAGATCTCCTTCTGGATGTGATGGGTCTTGATGTTCTCCTCTTCTCTGACCTTTCAGTGCATACATTCTCTGCAGACTGTGGTGGTGCCCCAATGGAATCCCAAACAAGCTTCAAATACTTTCCATCCATCTCATCTTCCAATTTGTTTAGCTTGACGATTGGCATCTTTGAACCTACCAACCTATTCTCAATTCTTAGTTTTCCTTCAAATGCTTGTTGAGAACATGTTACACCTTCCTCAGAGGAAACATTTGGTAATTTTGCTTTCTTCTTTGATCCTTCACTTGGTGTTTTTGATGTCTTTGCTACTAAATCTCCATTTAAAGGCAATTGATCTTGTGCTGCTGCAGTTCTAGTTTTACATGGACTCCAACTTCTTGCCCGTCTGCTAGGTATATTATTCTTTCCTGATTCTACATCCATATGTTCATTTTCATTAACTACTCCATTTGTTTGGCCTATATAAGTGGATTCAGTTTCAACTCCAGTGGAAGTGGACTTTGCTTCAACAACTCCTGTGGTAGTTGACTCTGTCTCCACAACACCTGTTGTAGAGGCTTCTCTCTCCAAAACTTCTACAGAAGTGGACTCATTCTCTACAACTCCTGAGGCAGTAGTTGATGTCTCTATAACTCCTGTTGTGGTTGCTTCTTTCTCCAAAACTCCTGTGGTAGGGGATGGAATCGCAACAATTCTGGGTGACAAGTCAAGCGAAACTGTTTCTGGAGGTTTTATCCTACTGGAAGTTCTCAGTCCACCTTTTCTATCCTTCGAGATGGCAGGAAGTTGAGGAAAATGTATGGAATCTTCTATGTTCCTTCCTGGGGTGATTGGCACTTCTTCCCTAGAAACTTTTCTTGATTTACCTTTCTTCAATTTTGATCTGCTGTTTAAAATTCTCAATTTAAACTTCTTCTTTTTCTTTGTATTCATTGAGGAGGACTGTGCCATTTCTGTTTGAACTTCCATGTGAACTTCAGCCTGATTTTCATCTTGATCATTTGCTTGAACGTTTTTAGTCTGAGTTTGCAAAGGAACATGAATCATTTCATCCAACTCGTGCAAAAGCAGACTTGTTTTCTGTTTCAAATTTTCTATTTTTAACACTCGTTCCTCTTCAGTTTCATGTTGAATGAAAGAGCTTCCCTCAAGGTCTTTATCTATATGTGCTTCTTGTTTCTTGGCTGTCTTCCCATTTCGACTTGATTCTTGTGTCTTCTTTTCTTCTTTTTGTGTTGGAGTTTTTATCTTTAATGTTGCATCTTCTTCTAACTCACGCTCACTACCAGAACCATCTTCCTCTACAACTTCATTGTTAGCATCTAGATCTTGTGACTCTTGATCATCTTGTTTGTTTTTTAGTCTGGGACTCTTTCTTTCTGTTTCTGCACTGGGTTTTCTCTTCCTCAGAGATAGCTTGGCTTTGATTGCATGAATTTTGGATATTGCAGTGTTTCTCTTTAAGTAAGGCTGAGAAGTAGCTTTTTTCTTCCTCGATATTCCTCCTTGTTCAACAGATTTTTTAACAGTTTTGCCCGACCTTAAAACTTGCTTTGAATTTAAAATTGCTCTTGGTGATGCAACATCCGTATTTGGTAGAAACTGTTTTTCAGAGAGGTTTTCTGTTAACAATTTCTTCAGAGCAAAAGCATGCTTTCTTGGACTTGACTTTTTGGGGCTCTGTTGCTTTGACTTGGATGATGACTTTTTTGGACTGGTCATTTCTTTCTCTTCAGCAGATGATTTCTGAAAATTTTCATCATCCTTTGATGAAGGCTGAGAATTCTCATTGGCATTTGATGTTGGAGTACTTTCAACATTATTGACTGGTTTTGCAACTGTAACAGCCGTAACGTTTTGGACACTCTCTGTTGTAGATGACAAGGCTTTTGAGCTGCTATGACTAGAAGACGGTTCTGAGACTGTAGTCTGTTGTGCACCAAGTGAAGGCTGTAATACTGATACATGCTGACCAGAGTGGACTGTCTGAGACAATGCAGAAGAGCTGGCTAAAGTCTGTTCTTCTTGTCCACTCTGTGACCCAAACCTTACATTTTTGGACTTAAAAGGCTTCCGTATGCCAAACACACTTTTTGAACTATACTTACTTGAAGCATATTTGCTCAGTTGTCTTTGCGGTTCCTTTGGATCTGACTCGTCAACCTTGATAAGCTTGACAAACGGAGAATATTTAGAAGGCGAATTGCTAAGGTAGCTCGGAACATTAAAGGTAACTTGTTCGTCATCTCTGTTTTGTGGTGGAGATTTCTCCCCTTCACTACTTGTATCATTATCTACACCCACACTGACTGCTTTCACCTTGTCTTTATCGCACGTAATTACCCCGGGCCTAACATGGTCTCCACTGTTTGTGCTAACAATCGCAGGCCTAACTTCTCTATTCTCATCTCTTGATGATGGTCCAGCTTGACCCGTTTTGTTTTGCACTTGGTCAACAGAGCTCTTGAATACAAAAGCTGAGTTCAGAGATATTCTACTGCCACTGTACTTCTTCACTTTATTTTCTGTTGTCTTGGACACCACTCGCACATCGTTACTCGTATCTGCATTAACAGTAATACTGACGTTCTGGAAGTGTTGGATGGACTTCTTGGGACTTGCCGCATTTAACAGACGAATTGGTCCCTTTCTTCCAGCCGAATTTGTCAGGACCTCAGTTACAATATTTTCATCCGAAACAGTAGTATTTTTTGACATTTGATTTGTGGGGGTATGTAAGTCTAGATAAGCTAAGCTTGACTGACTACTTTCAACAGGAGCTGAGGAAGACTTTGCGGAGTAACTTCCCCCTGGGTCAGACTTGCGTTTTTGTTTTTTGTTTCGCTTTCCAGCATTGTACTCCGAGTCTGTGACAGAGCCCCCAATTGAACTGCCAGATTTTTTCCCATTCGCAGCATTGGATTTCTTTTCATAGTGAACTTCGTTTAAGTGCTTGCGTAATCCTTTGTGATGAAAAGGTCCTCTAAATACACTATGACAAAAAGAACATTCACTTGTTTTAATCTTTCTTGCCTCTTCCACACTGATAGTGGTGTATGTTGTATCAGGATGATAATCTTTCTTCTTTTCTAAATGTTTTTTGATATTTCTTTCACTTAGATAAATCAGTCCACAATTACATATGGCAGCCATACCAGTATCTGCTTCACAATTCACAATTAGAGGAGATTTGGCTGGAAGCTGCGTTGCGTCTGTTTGTACACTACCATCCCCTGAATCACATGGTCTGTCACAATGCAAACAAGTGGCACTGTCTCCACTTGCCGTTACTGGATTAGAAGCACAGCTTTGCAACATACTCTTGTGAAAGTCCATATAATGTCTCTTCAATGTCCCAAAGTTATCGAGTGTCTGATCGCAAAATCTGCAATTAAGAAAGGAAGCACTGAGACACGCTGAACAGAACTGGTCATCTGTGTAGCTTTCATCTTCCTCCTCATCTGTAGTTTCATCGTCAGTCATGAGGTCAAACCCAGTTTTCTCACACAGTGTTGCATCTTTAGGTGAAGGTTTAATGACATGCTTCTTATTCCAGTGGGCTAACCAAGTCTTCTTGTTCTTGTAAGATCGCGAACAAGAAGGACAATGGACTCTTTCCACTATGTGCTCATCATCTGATTCAGTCATTGAATCCTCACATTCTGAGTCCACAAGTGGCATTCCTTGTGGAAATTTCCATTGGCTTCGTCTCCTAGGGTACATTCCACTCCAACGGTGCACCTCCTTTAGATGTCTACGTACATTACTTGTGGAGCTGAATTTGTGTTGACATATCGGGCATTCTGGTGCTTCACCATGATCAGTTCCCTCTCCAGTTTTAACACATGTACTGACTTCCACTTTAGGTTCCCTTTTTAGTGAGGAAACACGTGATTTCTCAATACTGGCTTTGTTTTCCTCCTTAGCCATATCTTCATCTGCTGATTTCTGGTGATATTTTGTCAAGTGCATGTTGTATGCATAAGGAGTCTTACAGTTTTGTAAACAAATGGAGCACCAAAATTCCTCCCCCTCCCCAGTCTCTGTTGATTCAAGGCTTCTTCTTACAGGTGTTACGGCTTCTTCCTGGTATAATTTCTCCCGATGTTTCTTTCTGATATGCTCCCTATAGGACCTGACACGCAAGTATTTCCGTGGACAAAAAGAACACTGGATTTTTTCAGTATCCGAATCACCTCCGCTTTCATCAGCACTGAGTTCCATGGTCTGATTTTTGTGATCTTCTTTCTTGTGTCGTTCTAAAGACTGTTTGTGTTTATACTTCTTGTTGCACAAATTACATGTTTCAGTGTTTTCATGTTCCATGCCATCAGGAGCTCTCGTTTTCACCTCCGTTCTTCCACGGTCCTGCGTTTTTAATTTCTGTTGATTAGTTTCCTGACCCGTGCTTCCTTCAGCAGGGTTCTCACTGACAGACCTCCTTCTGTTGAGTCCAGCCTTTTTTTTCTTGGTCCTTTTCTTCAATTTCTTGTCTGAGGTCTGCTCTCCATCACTTTCACTGTCAGTGTAGTAATCTGAAAATAGGGAAAGTAAATATTTAGCAGATACTATAAAAATTGTTAAAATCATGTGGATCTTTTAAATTGTTTTGGGATTCAATAAGAAAAGTCTGGATTAGATGAAAATGTGTGGTCAATGTGCATCTACTTATGACTGAGAAAACTTTGAAGAATATTTCAGAGCTGACAAGTAAATTTTTCTAGCTATTGCTAAGTCAAATTTCACTAGCCCTACCTCACTTTTTACCCCAGCAAACATTACAAAATAATCTTCTTTCAACAGAGTTTTGGTTTCATATACTACTGATCTATTTTCAAAGAGTTATTGATCTTTTCGAGCCACTTGCCTGCCTTAAAAATTCAATAGCCTGGGGCATCCCGCAATGGGATTTATCAGCCCATGTTTTATGCTTTTAACTTTATCAAATTGCTAATCAATTTTAAAATCTCATACATATGCAATGAATTTTATAGAAATTTAATTTATACAAAATCATGATTGCATAACATATCGATTGATGCCACCAATATGGGCATCACAAATACACACTTTGGAATACTTATCTGAAAAAACATGAATTATACCACTGATCATGTTGATAGGCTAAACAGTTTAAGAACAAAATTGATATGCTCTATGCAACATAAAGATAGACCATTTTGTTTACTTAGACTTACTTTTTTCTTCACTCATTTTTTCTAAACTGACAGTAACTGCTTTTATTCTTTCCATAACTAAAACTGAAAAATAAAATTATATATCAACTAATTATCACTACGCATCAACAGTTTGGATGAACATCTGCATAGTATCAAAAGGAATATTTATATCATTCTCTCTTTTGCCTTGCATTCAAAAATCAAGCCAATGCTCTCTCTTTCACTCTCTCTCAAATTTTTTCCAAAATACATTGTACATTCTAATGTAAATTTGTGTCCCCTATCTGACCTGTTCTGGTAAGAAGCTATGCACACAATTAAACTCTGCATACTAGCAAGTAAATTTTCTGATAAAAGTATTATCTTATGGAGATACCTATATACAAATTAAAGTGTAGAAGAGTGATCACAAATGCTCTGTAGCAACTGCTAATGATACAACGCCGCTAAATTATACAAATTTCATTAAGCCATGCAACTGTTATGTTTATAAAGCCATAAATTAATGCATTAATGGATGGCCTTTTTCACCGCTAAATGCTAAATTGCTGCATAATGAAAGAAATATATGATTAAGCAGATGAGCATGATAACTATTAATGCAATGATTTATTTGCATCTTTAAGTGGCGTTACATCATCAGAGGTACGGTTGCTACAATAATATGACTTGTGTGAGCTAAATGAGGATATATAACGTTATTTATATCAATTAGAAATTTACTTATATAATGTATCATTGTACGTCCTACAATTATTATTAAACTTTACTTAATCATATAAAAACCAACCTCAAGATGAAAATCTAAGTGGCAGAACTGCAGTTCAGGCTAAAGTCCTGTAAAACAAAATAGTTTGTCTTTTAATATATAGCTATCTTACAAAATTGCTGGACATATTATCATGGTGAACTTTCTTTCAGATCAAGCTGAAAGAAAATGTGTTGCAGATCAGTGATCTTTAATGTGTTTTAACACAAAAAAATTATCCTCATGAAAGTACTGTAAACCATCTTTATTCGCAACGACTTTATTTCGCGATTTACCAGGGATAAACTAGTTTGTGACGATTAATTTTCGCGATCAAGCCTTTTTGCATCTGTTTTTAATAGACAAATATACTATAAGGACCGGTTTGCGGCGAGAAATATTCGCGATGACGAGGATCTCGCGAACTTCGTGAAAATTTCTCGCATGCGAATAAAAGTTGGTTTACAGTAATCCATGACCTATAACACTGTTGTATACATATTTCTGGAAGTGGGAAGAATACCCTAACAGTAACATTATCATTTACCTTGCAATTTCAAAAAATAAATGCTATGAACCTTTTTTCCCCTTAAAAATGTTTAACAACAGCAAAAATGCCATACAAAAATGTCTTAAACCTCAACTGAAAAACAATAAAACATTAATAAAACAATACAGACATTATATTTACAAGGAAATGGGTTTAATGTAATAAGGGATAATAAAAGATAATTCTTTTTATCTTAGGAAGTGTGGATTAGTACAAAGCTTGTTTATTTTATGGTTCTTCAGGAAAACACAGTCATATACACATATTAGAGAATTTATCATAGCAGATTAAAACTTTTACTTTCTTTAGGCAAACTTTCAATTTCTATTAGGGACTATAAGACAATAAAGCTGGATAAAGTTTTATAAATTTGTTGGACACTTACATTTCTTGAGAGAACCAGAAGTCTCTGTTGAGACTGAAGCTCTACTGGTTTGTACTTATAGCAAAGGAAGAGAAAAGTACTTAAGCAGTTGGGAATTGAAACTTTTCTACAGCAATAAATAGAATAATGATCCTTGATTAAGTCTCTTTATGTTCTAAGTGTAGTCTACTTGCATGCCACATTATATTATAATCACACTAAAACTGTATTTGGAGTAGCATTTTGAGAGTATTTAACAGAAATTTCTATTTTTAGTAACCACGGCAACACCGTTCATTGAAGTGAAAAACTGATACATAGAATTATGTATCTTAGTGTAGTCTACTTGTGTGCCATGTTATATTGAAATCAGACCAAAACTGTAGGAGGAGTAGCATTTTGAAAGAATTTCACAGAAATTTCTATTTTTAGTAACCACGGCAACACCGTTCATCGAAATCAAAAACCGATACACAGAATTATGTATCTTAGTGTAGTCTACTTGTGTGCCAAGTTATATTGAAATCACACCAAAACTGTAGGAGGAGTAGCATTTTGAAAGAATTTCACAGAAATTTCTATTTTTAGTAACCACAGCAACACCGTTCATCGAAATCAAAAACCGATAAACAGAATGATGTATCTTAGTGTAGTCTACTTGTGTGCCAAGTTATATTGAAATCAGACCAAAACTGTAGGAGGAGTAGCATTTTGAAAGAATTTCACAGAAAATTCTATTTTTAGTAACCATGGCAACACCGTTCATCGAAATCAAAAACCGATATACAGAATTATGTATCTTAGTGTACTCTACTTGTGTGCCAAGTTATATTGAAATCAGACCAAAACTGTACGAGGAGTAGCATTTTGAAAAATTGTTTACAGACGGACAGACAGACAGACAGACAGACGGATGGACGACGGACGCATTACTATCGCATAAGCTCTTCTGGTCTCTGACCAGTAGAGCTAAAAATTACAATACAGTCCCCCTATCACTGTGAAAGCATATTAATGGAAGCCTGTTTTCCATAAATCCTCTGTACGTTTCATTGCAAACTAACTAATATATCTATATCCAAAGCATACTTTTAAAAATGTCCTTTCTTTTAACAAGGAGACCTTCTTTACAGATATAACATGGAGTCTGAACACCAATAAATCTGAATGGCTGCAATGTACTGACAGCTAAACCTCATAGGAAATCTGGCGTATAAAGTGGGAAAAAGTCAGACTAAACACAGACACTTTACTGCAGGAACTGACTCTATTTCTGTTGAAATAAATGATTTGGGACCAAACAAGAGTTACACAACATACTTTACTGCATCACAATAAGGTGTTGTCAGACCCAGCTGAAATACTATCACTGATATTGTGATAATACAACCCTGTAATGACCCTTGTTAAAAAGATTTGGGAGACTTGCTGAGTCGTACATCCTTACCCATTATCTGTGACAGCTAGGTGGAATGTCAATGACCTAGTTCAATAAAAAGTCCTTCATGCTACAACATCTATCTACATTTAGATAAAATTATAATGCTGAACATTTAAACTGGAGACTTTCTATGAAAGAATCATGAAACAAGTAAAATAATGCTACCCACTAGTTACAATAACGAAATCTTAGCATAAATTACAAAGAACTATATGCGGTATATTGCATATACTTGCCCCCACAAAAGTCAAATTTTGAAAACTACCTGAAATGTGCTGAATACAATAAATTGTATGAGAAATATAAATTAACATAACATATTATAGTTTCAAAGCAGTTTATTCACAATTTTTGTTTTTATGACGTCACAAACTAGACCGATTTTATATCCTTTTTCAGAAAGAGGACAAAATGGACAAAATTTCAACAATTTTAGCTTTAAAATTTATAGAGCGCAAGTTTGTTCAGGAACAATATTGACATATTTCATTGATATTATCATTCTACACATTATATCAAAATATTGATCCTGAACACACATGCGCTCGGTGACTTTTACTCAAAATATCGACGAAATAAGTACATTTTTCTGTAGAATTCATAAAAAACTGAAATTTACGTCATGTTTGTGACGTCATTACGTACATATGACGTCATTACCTATGAAAATATTCAGTGCCTTAAAGTCAGCATATACTCCCCTGTTTAAGAACTTAATTAAATATACCTCCATCAAAGTTTGATTTGGGGGGCAAATCTTGGTTATTACTGAATAAAGTTCTTTTATTTACATGTCAATGGCATATAAATCTTTTACTATTATATGTATAATACATAGTGTTTATTTATATTTACTTAAACAAGCTGGTATCAGAGTTCCCGAAACGCACCGGTCCACCGGGGATCCCCGGTAAACTTTGAATGGGACCGGTAAAATCTTAATTTTATCGGTCAAAATGTCCGATGGTTTTTTTTACAGACTGTATTTATAACAATTACACATAATCTTAACAAAATCATTCAATTCAATTGTCCTGACAATTTACAAATGCAAAACTAAAGGAAATAAAAAAAAAAAAAACGTCAGGGGCGCGCCAGATTATTCTCGTGCATTCTTAAATAAATTGTAGACGGTGAATGTCTATTATAAAAAGCTTCATATTAAAATAATAATCTCCATAAGTCTGAGAGGAAAAACAGTTAAAACACTGTCAAACAAATATTTTTCCTTCTTAATAAATATATGCACTCCGTAGTTCTGACAGTAAAAAAAATGTGACAATCTACTTTCGTTTTGCAGGACGAATGTGCAGGGTTGCAAGAGTTGCCTGCTTTTTCTGCTTGACAACAGACAACTTGTAACCATTTATTATTTCTCTATAATTTAATCTATTAGTATGATTAATATTATACCAACTTTTGGATTTTTTTCCATGTATTTGATAGCATTTAAAATACATGCGCGTTTTTCCCCTTTGCTAAAAATAGCGGACTGACTTTAATGTAATAAAACGACAACAAATTCACTTAAAATCATAATTTTCATGATAATTTGCATATTTTTATATCATTAGTACATATTTTTAAATGTGTGGAGGTTGTATAATACGTTTTAACTAGTCAGAAATATCTGACGTTTTTTCAGGCTTAATTCCAAACAATAAACCAAAAGTTGTCATGTTGCAGATTTTATTTAAAAAAAAATTTAAAAATCTCTCAGAAAAGACATAATAATCTAATACAATGAATAGAATTAATAGAAAATATTTCAATAAATCTAAAAAAAAAATCTGCATTTGCCATCTTTTCATTTACACATATTATATCGACACAATTTCCAATCCTATAATATGTTAAATTTACATACAAAAAATCAATGTCCGGTAAATTTTACAACTGTCCGGTGAATTTTGAATATTTACAGGACAATTGTCCGACACATTTTTGACTAGTTTCGGGAACTCTGTGGTATTATGTACACTTATATTCTAAAGTCAGACTAAGTATACATTGAAAATAGACATCCATTAGTTTATCTGATAAGGATAGCCTACAAGTGTTGGCCTGACCAGCTTCACCCCTGCTGTTTTGCTGGACATAAATGTTTTCAAGAATGGCTTAATATTATGTAATCTGTAAATTTATGTATGCTGAGGTAACATTAATTGTGATTAAGATTTTGTTTTTAATCTCCTGTATCTGGTCCTGATTGATGTTAAGCATGTTTCCATTACCCCAATTGATAGTTAATATATTGCATAATGTTTCCAAGATTGAGTTATCACAATTATAAATGCTATTGAACAAACCTGTCCAAGTCTTGACAATTCTATAACTCTTCAGTCTTAGACAAAAGGAACATTTCATAGTGATAATTTTAATACCTGTTCAATTTCAATTGAAAAGATAAAGATGACAAAGATGGAAAGGATATTTTCAACAAAATAGTGACTTCTTTTATCACAGTAATTCAGAAATCACAATGATTTCCAGGACCTACACATACCATTATTTGGTGTTTTCCCTAAGAACCAGCTGACGGCCAAATTGACCGCTTCGACTGATAAAATGCCGCCTAGAAATCAAAATAAGTTGTAAGGTTAAAATAGTTCTGTTCATTAACACCAACCCTTAGCCTGTAACAATCAATCTTTAACCCTTTACTTTAAAATAAAGGGAAAACACTGCTTATTACTGAATAAATGCACAGGTACACACCACTCTTTATGATAGGTAAATTAACATAATACAACTTGAGAAAATATGCTTTATTAATTGTGCACATATATTTATCTCTCTGACTCTAATAAATCTGAATAGGTGAACAGCTGGTTAAAAATACTATCAATAGTGTGATTTTATATAAGTTAATTAGACACACTATGAAGCAGACAAATTACGCTAAAGCCATTTTAAAAAAAAAACAAACTTTTTTAACCTTTAAGAAACAATATTTCTTCTTACTATTTGTAGATTTTCTCATTTGTTCAATATGTATGTTGAAATTTTCTAGAATTTTTTTTCACTTTTCCTACCGACCTTTTATTTTACCCTAAGCTAGCTCAGTTGGGAGAGGGCAAACAAACATTTAAAAGCTGTTAAATAACCAAGACTTTTAATGCCAAACGCCGTAGACAGTTACAAATTCTATGAACCAGCTGCTGTGACCTATTAGAGGAAGCCTATGGCGAATTTACTCTAGATCCACCTGTTAAAACTTCAACATGGTGGGCATAACAAAACTCACACATTATTCTAACTTTATGAAACCTGGAAAAAGCATTTGTTCAATTTAAACCTACATGTTCACATGCATTCACATCATTAGATACAACTCATAAAAGTAACAAGTGCAGTATTGCAAACGTACATTCCCAAAAATACTCCTTTAGATACCACTCATACCAGTGGAACATGGAGCATCGTATTGCTGACATCTGCAACTTCGACGACATGTTCGGCGAATGCAACCAAATGATCTATCTTAAAATAAAATATCAAAAAGACTCACTTTACGCATTTTGAATTGCAGTGTCCATATTCTTCTTTCAAATCATCTTTCTCTGACGCTTTTGTTGCAGTCAAAATAAGTACATCAATTTTTATAAACATTACAAATAATAAACACGCTACCGGAAGTCAAGTGCGTTCTGGGGATAATTTTCCCGCGCTTTTCATTAACTCGTTCGCTGAAAACATTTTCATTCGTGTAGCATCCGATTTTTTTTATTCGTTATGCCAGCCTTATTTATAAAATAATTAGTATCTGGAAATTGCTTAATATACAAAAACATATACTTTCAATGTCAATTTAATTAGTGTGGGGATAGTAACGGCACTTTCCAAGTCATTATTTTCAGATAGATTGCTCCTTACCTTTTTAAAATATCTGTGTTTCCTGCAGCTGGGAGTCACGGAGTCAATATTAAATAATTAAAATCAAATTTAATGAGCTATACAGTCATCTCTCGATAACATTTTTAAAATATCTGTGTTTTGCAGCTATTGAGGTAAAATGAAGACGGCGTATGAGATTTTTCAATATTAAATACCAAATTTATGAATTAAGAAGTTTAACAGTACATCTGTTTTGCATTTCTAATGTGTTCAGTGATATTATAAAAGCACTAAACTTATACGATCAGGCACGTAGCAACAGGCTATTGATGTAAAATGATATTATACAACATTACCTTTACTATTGAAAATGTTTATTGAAAGGTTTGACATACCCCCCCCCCAATGTTTATCCAATTAAAGTAATATCAAGGAAATTTAGTATTGTTTTGCAAAAAAAAAAAAAACTGTAAGTTGAAAAAAAGCATATTAAACTTAATTATACGATCAAGTCAAAACAAATACGGAAAATCAATATCATTTTTGCGGACACATGGAACAAAATTATAAGGCAGGTGCCCTCATGGGTGACACCAACACTATGAAGTATAAATCACAAATTGTCAAAATCAATAAGTGAAGACCTTACACCCCCACCCCTCCCCCACTTTTTCAAGCAGAGGAAATAAAAAATATTATTTTACTTTAGAAACACAACCTTATTTCAATTATACGATAGACAGAAAGAAGAACTACAAAAGATTAACCCAGGGTAAATAATTTATTTTTTATATATAAACAATATATAAACAGACTGATAAAGAAAACATCCCCGGTCTTCAGCATCCCAAGGTAGAGTGGAGAGTTGCCACGTGGTTCTCTTGTATGTGTGCATCGTGTCCACAAAATTTGACTTGCCTAGAAAAATACAAGCTCAGATAAAATGTATCCCTGAAATTCTTGTTAAACTTTCTTTCACATATGCATGCACGTTTGTTCATCCATATCCTCATTGTGAAAATTCAATTAATGAAGATAAGTGAAAATCGTACAAGGATTGTTGAGAACTATTAATGTTTTACAAAAAAGACTTATCAAGAAGTGTCTGGGTTACTTCTTCCATCAAACATGTTTGCATTTTTTTAAAGTTCATGTTGAAACTTCAATTTCTATTAAAATATAGGTAAAAAAACTAAAAATATGGGAAGTAAAACTCTTGCCATTGATTCTTTATTTGATCCTCTCGCTTTTATAATCGCCGTAACTGAAAAAGTCTGAATTGACAATTCACCATAATCAACAAAACCATTACCCGCCCGGCATACCCGCCGACTGTACAGTAACGTATCTGACCACCACTTCATGTTCGGAGCCGAGAGCCTTTAACCCATCTCCACGAACAAACCTGACCTTGACCCCGGTAAAGTCACCGATGTCTGCGTGGGCTACAAGGATGTGTCTCTCCGTGGTATCGGTAAAATAAAACTGCATCAGTCTATTGTGGAGAGCGAATAAAATTGTTACTTTCTGAACAAACATGATTTCAGCCCAATTGATGATAAACGTTGGATTCTCTCATTGATGTTAAACAATAGAGTCCTACCTTGAAAATTTGAGTTCCTTGGATTGGCCCTTTGTTCCAATGAGAGTAACGAAAAATTCTCCGTAAGAGTGTCCATTCATTGAATGAGAAATGACTATTTCCATGTCATACTCATGCCCTGGATTTGAGTAAAATGCACTCTCTTCATACAATACAAAATGTACACACTCCGTACAATACAAATACCGGTATTGCTCTTTGACATCAACATTTTTTTCGAGAAGGAAGTCAGCATTTACCTACCACAATACGGGGAATGAGATGAGGTGCTGAGGAAAAAGACGCCACGAGGGGAAGTGTCGTCTGCTTCATACCCCATCACTGCGCAACCGCCAGCAGGACACGCCATGCACCTTCCATGGTCGAAATCCGCTAATGAAGCACACTGGTGAGCATAAAATTTACAGGGTGAGTTGATGGATTCGATGAAATATTCATGCGCTCTTCCATGACTGCATGACAATGATGTTGCTACAGACCCTGTAATTTCATCAAGTTCATCATGAATAAAAACTGATGCATGGATTAGTGATGCAATTTTTATTCCAAATCGGAGCCGTGTTTTAATCTTCTTCCTTTTCTGCCATTCAACAGAAAATTTCCAAGCATATGTCTCAACTTATCATATATCCAAAGTGTTTATTGATTTGATAAAATATCTGTTTAAAAAATTAGTAATGCTGCTTCCACCTTAAAATGAAATTTTCACCCACTGGGGCCAAGCATACCAAATGCACCCTGTAGAAGACTGCTCAAGGCACTTCCAGCCGGTTTTTCTGGACAGCCTGGTTGATATTCACCACCATTAGGAAAGAAATCGACATCCCCAACAATGTCATGTGTTCCATAACCTAGAGTAAAACATGAGGGGATATATATCAGAGTATAATTATTTTCATTTCTATATTTGTTTTCTATGTGATAACTCTTTGAAAAATAGTTGAATTGATTTATCGATAATTCTACCGGAATGTAAATTTACGGAAAACATAGACAAAAACCTTGTTGACAAGGTTCCTGAGCTAAGCTAAGCCTAATAAAATGCAAGTTATATCTAATTATGAAGAGAATTCGTGCGGTTGTATATCTTTGTGTTATAATCCATAATAATTTTTATATTAATATGCCAATAAAGGAAAATCAGATATTTTTAAAGATTTTTTAAAAAGGGAGTTTAGCTATTGAACTTGACAAAAAATGGGGTTAAGCTTCATGAGTTATACATGTGTAAATTTAATTTTTCGATCACGCAATGTAAACAAAGGATTATTTTTTGTGTGACCTTTTTTTTTTTAACTTTTGATTTTGTATCTTTAAATCAAAAGTTGAAATTTATAATTTTATTTCACAATGAAATGCAAATATTTTTTATAGGGGTATTTCCTTACTGTTTGGGTATAAGACTAACTTTTAAGTCTTTTAAATCGCCCTTAGAAAATACGTATTCCAATTTACATAAACGACTAGTTGGAAATTTGCATTACATTATCCTTACCTTTTGGGAAATTTTTGTTGCAAAGTAATCAACTATTTCAATGATAGACAGATAGAACATTTTTAAAATACAGTTGTTCATATTTACGATGGAAGAACTTTTTTATCAGCTTTAATTGAAGAAAAATGACATTATTTTCGTCTTGTGAATTTTTGATTTCTTATATACATATATTCTGCGAATTTTGCATTTAAACTTTTTTTTTGTTTAATCATAAGGGTTTTAATTATATACAAATTAATCACAATAACACATTATAATAGTAATTTTCTCAATATCTTGCCTTTTGTAAAAACGAACGATTGTAGCATCCGTGTGTAAAGATGACTTGCCATCTACTATAGTTGACTTCTTCGACAGAAATAGGACTAGTTAGAAATATTTTTGTTGATGGGAAATCTACAGTACATCAAGTATGTGAGGTCAATACAAAATATCTACTTGAATATTATACAATAATTATGTATTTTCTGCAATTACTGGTTTTCCTATGTTAGGAAATTAACATGAGGGTTCTGCAGGATCCAGTTATTTTCACTAGTTTATTGAAATTCCTAAAGCATTTAGAAACCTATATTAGTCCACTTGGAACTATTTTTTCTAGAAACTTCAATGAAATGTGATATTCGATGTTGATCAACGTGTGTTTGATTCATTTTTTTCAAAAATACCATTATGATCTTGAGGTTTGTTTAAGTTAGCTTCAGATTAGACCGTATATAAACTGAGGTCCTGTGTTGCAGTAAGTCCTGGCAAATGGCCCTGAGTGCAGAGTTGTCAGAATGATGAAAAATTCTCGAGAAATAAATAATATACAATCAATTTTTTGTTTCCGATTTTTACACACCAATATACACAGATCAAAAAAATGGAATTTTATAAAATAAACAAAACAAAATACATACATAAGTAAATTTGCCGTCCGATTTACACACACGAACTGGGCAAAAGTGGATGGGTAAATTTACTCAACTGTGCAGAAATTGCATATGAGTAAATCAGTTCATACGACAAAAATTGCACATGTGAGTTAATTTACTCATGTGTAAAATATACTGAGATATGCAAATCATGTCGTATGAATGGGGTTTTAGAATTTTTTGATCAGCGTAGTTTACATGCTAAGCAATATACATGTAAATTTAGCGCTTTTCTTTGTGTTTGAACATGGAGAAATTGACATGGGGGCCTTCCACATTTGTAAAATCTTAGTTTAGATTTTTATTTCACAATGAAATGGAATTGCCAAAAGAGTATGCTGCTTGCGATAGTTGGAAATTTGCATTACGGGACTTACCTTTCCAACTATCGTTGATGACCCCAATCAATTCGAAATAAACAATTGCGTTTGCTTCTAAACATTTCCTTGTCATAGTTACACTATAGATATTTTGGTTAATGGTAAATAAAAACGAAGCCTGAATCTTCTTTATTAAAACAGATACCAAAAAGGACAATCAATAGACTACTGTAAATTACCTTCACTAACAATTGCATTTTGAATGCCTGTTCTGCTCTGGTGATTTGTCATTATTTGTTTTCCCTTGATTTTTGTCAAGTTCAAAATTTTAGCTGTTATTCTTTTCGAAGATCGATTTTAATTTTTTTTTTTGGGGGGGGGGGGTGTTCAAGAAAACCTTGATTTTCTTTATAGGTTGTACAAAAAGTGCTATAGACATGATTTGTAAAGAAAGTTTAAATAGGGCTACGTCGGAAGTATATTGAAATGGCTAAAAAAAAGAAAGGGTAAACCTCTTTTAAATGCTTATATATTACTATATACTCTCTTTGAAATGAAGATTAATTATTTTATTGAAATTACTATTTTGACACAATTCGATGTTCAGGATGTATTAATGTTAGTATTCTTTAAAAAGTCTTTATCAGCTAATTGCCAGGTTTTGAAATTAACATCATTCATTCATCAGTAAGGTCTTGTTACATTATGGCTTGATGCCAAATTGTGGGCGTGACTTAGCAACATGGTTCTTCTGGCAAATACACCACAGCAACATCAAAGTAAAATCTGAATTTACCGCCAGTCCTATGGTACAAGTTTTAAATATCTTGCCTTTTGTAAAAACGAAGGTTGTAGCATCCGTGTGGATGACGTCAACAAAAGTGGCATCATCTGGATCAAGTCGTCTGCTTACTGGTTTTCCTGAGAACAGAGGGTCTGCAGGATCCAGTCCTAAAGCATTTAGAAACCTATATCAGTCCACTTGGAACTATTTTTTCTAGAAACTTGTGATATTCGATGTTGATCAAGTCGTGCGTTTGATTCATTTTTATCAAAAATACCATTATGATCTTGAGGTTCGTTTAAGTTAGCTGCAATAGCGTACAAAAGGATCTAGTCAGAAATGGAAATAATAATCTTTTTTGACAGATTAATATAGATCAAAAGGTACACCTGTAATCCTTCCAATACCGGGTAGTGGATGGGATGCTAGTCCAGCAATCTGTGCACCAAGACTATGACCAATGATGTGAACATCAGCGTAGTTTACATGGGCATAGTCATGCAAATGCTTCAACATGGAGGACACTTCCGCTCCCACAAGATACACATTGCCAGCTGCTTGCTCGTATGGCATTTGTGCTCCAGAACCCCAATCAACGATAATCACGTTAAAGTCATCCTAAAGTTTAGATAAATACGAAGCCTGAATCTTCTTTATGAAAAATACCAAAAGGACAATCAATAGATTACTGTAAATTACCTTCACTAACAATTCATCCTTTGCTCTGGTGACCCAATTCGTTTTCCCATTGTTCAAAAAGCCATGAATAAGAACCTTGATTTTCTTGGTTGCATTGACATGATTTGTGAAGGGGGCTACGTCAGGAGCAAAAAACCCTCCTTTTGAAATGAAGATTAATTATTTTATTAATGACACCATGTTCTGTATTACTAAAAAGTCTTCACTAAAGAACTAAGCTATAATCTTGTACCTCCTGTCTCAGCAACATGAGACGCATGCGCTCTCTGGTACAGTCGGAAGCGAGTGTTGACAATGGACGGTTTCTGAGGAGTCTTCAGATTTCCCTCGGAGTGGAAGCATTTGATATTTTCATAACAAAGCAGGACACGTATGAAAACCAACCGCAGTTACACTGTAAGTACTACAGTGTATATATAGGTACAAAATCACTGTTTTATCTGCCGGTACTCTTACTCTGCTTTGATAAACGTCTGGGATTGTCTAGAAAGTGCATTGGGATCATCAAGAATGTTCACTTATAATTTTTAACCTTTGATGTATTTGTTTTGAACAGATTACAGGATAATTTAACATACTGAAGAATTTCGTTGGGGCAAAAAACGTGCTTTGGGGCATTTGATATTTTCATAACAAAGAACACTGTATGAAAACAATTACACTGTAATCGGGAAATTGACCTTTTAATTGTTTTCTTACGGTGAATTCGAATTTCGTTTTCTTTCTCTCTCCGGATGATTTGTTTCAAATTGTCGACTGTTGTCATGCTCTGATTGTTGTCAACTGTTGTCATGATCTAATTGTTGTTGACTAGTTGTGCTCTATTTGTTGCTGATTGTTTTCATGCTCTGATTGTTGTTGACTGTTGTCACATGTTCTAAGTGATATCAATTATTATCATGATCTAATTGTTGTTGATTGTTGTCATGATCTAATTGTTTTTGACTCTTGGAGAGCTGCGAAATTTGTCCTATACTCAGCACTCAGGGTCATTGAGCAGTGAGGGATCTTTTTCGTGCCAGCGCCTACTGCGACACAGAACCTCGGTCTATACGGTCTCATCCGAAGGACCGGTCTCCACGTTCCAAAGTGGGATTCGAACCCGCGACTTAAGGATTGACTTCTTACGCCGCGACTCTAGATCAAACGCTCTATCCACTGCACCACAAGGGCGACACAAAGTTATTAGAAAGAGAACGACTTATTCCCACTTTTTCTCCCCATTATAGAAAACTCATTGTCCTTGCATATAAAAAGCTCTCAAAACAGCATTGATATGATATAAATACTAGTCCATGCACTGGACTCAGACGTACAAGCTAGTGCATGTATACATACTTGCGGCTGTTGAATCTAATATGTCATAAATGCTTAGGCATAACATGTTACACAATGTAATACACGACATTTCATAACAGTTCATTTTAATGCATACACAAATAACATCCAATCACCCATGGTAAATTTCTGTTGTTCTGGCTCCTACCAACCTGAGGTGGAGTGGAGAGTTGCCACGTGGTTTTCATGTATATGGGCATCATGTCCACAAAACTTCACTTTGCTACAAAATTTCAAAAGAAATTTAAGAAGCCGAAAAATTGCGAACGATCATCTTTGTTAATGTTACAAAAGAACTATAAAAGGTCTTACAGCACCATAAAATATCCAAAATTCCATCTATTGAAAGACATACCTAGCTGCGTTCTCCGTCATTTCCACAGTAACGTATCGTACTATCACTTCATGTTGGGATCCAGTGGCCTTGACACCATCTCCACGCACGAATTTGACCTTGACACCTGTTATGTCACCAACATCTGTATGTGTGACAAGCACGTGCCTCTCTGCAGAGTCGGTTATGTAATACTGCATTTTCCTGTCGGGGGTTAGTATTGAAAATATACGGTACACAAATAGGAATATTAGAAATATGTTTTACCAAATCAGAATATAGCGTAAATTTATGTTTGGAAGGATGCTCACTTGGGGAACTGAATTCTTTATCTATATGTCTAATTATGACGAAGGGTGAAAGATTAAAGACCTTAAAAAAGTTGTTTCTTTCCTTACCTTGAAAATTTCAGTTCCTCGCTTTCACCTTTTGTTCCTTGTAGTCTCACATAGAGTTCTCCGTACGAATGACCGTGCATCGAATGAGAAATTACTATCTGTACATAATATTCGTAACCTACAGAAAAAAAATTATATTGAAGAGAATCCGACTTTTACTTTAGGATGTTCACATGAATAAAACCTCGTTTTGAAACTGGAAATTGATACTAGAACCGTTACGTACCACAATAAGGGCCCTGGGTGGATGTGCTCAAATAAAAGGCGCCACGAAGAGAGGTGACGTCTGCGTCGTATCCCATCACAGCGCAGCCGCCGTCAGGGCATCCCATACACCTTCCTTCATCAAAGTCCGTTATGTTTGAACATTTGTGGGCAAAGAACTTGCAATGTGAGTTGATGGATTCGATGAAATAATCGGTTGCCCGACTGTGACTGCATGATATCGAATGGGTGAGCGTACCTGTGAAATATTACCCATTTTGTGTGTAAAGGTGTATTTGGACAGCTGCAAAAACGTGCTGAGCACGACAGCAAACATGTATCAGATTGGTAGCAAACTGTATTGATAACTGCGAAGAATAGTCAAACTCCAAGAAGCAGTCATACAATGTCATTATGTCAAGATCCATTGAGAGAATTCAGAAAGAACATTAGGGAATTGCACCAGTATCTACAGTAAGTTACCTAAACCACCATGGAGCAGGGTGTACAGAGCATTGTGACCCGGATCTTCGGGACAGCCTGGTTGATGTTCACCGCCGTTTGGGAAAAAGTCAACGTCTCCTTCGATATCGTGTGTTCCAAAACCTACAAAAAAGTTTTATCGCAGAAACTCAACTGATAGTCAAAGTCATGGCGCTAAAGAGTTTCAAAACATGTAGAAAACTATTCAAGAACAAAACAAACAGATAAAAAATGGCTTGCCTTGTGTGTATGCAAAGTTTGAGGAATCGGTATGGATGACATCAACAAAAGTTGCGTCATTTGGGTCAAGATGGCGGTCCTTAGGTTTTCCAGAATACAGAGGATCAGCAGGATCTAGACCTAGACCAAAAAGAAGGCTAGCTAACGTGATCTTACTTCATTTATTGTGTGTATTTTATTGTTTGTTGTTTGTTATAAAATGGACGATGTTGAGAAGAGAAAGAACGATAAAATATGATATAATCTTAGAGTTAAATTGGGATGTAAGCAAGGAATGTATATACATGTAGTTAACGAGTCCACATGAATTAATAATGATGAATCATATTTGTCTGTTATAATCAAACAAACCTGTGATTCGCCCAATTTTATTAATGCGTTGACCAGTTAAGCCAGCAATCTGAGCACCAAGACTATGGCCAATGATGTGAACATCTGAATAACTGATGTGGGCGTGATCGTGAAGGTAAGTAAAGAGGGACGCCAATTCGGCTGCAACCAGGTATCCATTGCCTGCTGCCTGTTCATAAGGCCACTTTGCCCCAGTGCCCCAGTCTACGACGATAACGTTGAAGTCTCCCTAAATGAGAAATAAGAACCTGATTCAATTGTGTGGAAGGTGCACATCTTTACAATAATGTAAGAAAAAAACATTTTTTAAAGTCGAAAAGATTCAAGACAATGCAACTGACTCATTGCACATAGTAGAACCAACTTATACATGAAGAGAACGCAGTGGTAACAAAAACAGGACATTGCTCTGATTGAAGAACCAATCTTTTATGGGCAAAAGATTGTTAGATGAGGTTTTACCTTCTTTAATAACTCATTTTTTGCATGCATGACCCATTGTGACCTTCCATTGTCCAGAAAGCCATGAACAAGAACCTTGGTTTTTCTGGTCGGGCTGACATGTTGAGTAAATGGGGTTACCTCGGACTGCCAAGTTGGGCCTTCAAGGAAAGGCAAGAGTGAGAAGAAAACGAGATACAGTATATAAAATCATGGATGTTTCACGGGTAAAGTTACGAACTTTTTGATACGACTGTTACGATTAGCTTTTTGCTCAGGAAGAAAATAACGCAAACACTACTGATGAAAGTGAGTATAACAAAAAAAAAAGTCCAAAATAACAGCATCATACCTCCAATTTCGTTAATATGGGATGAATGTCCTCGCACATACAGTCTATAATACGTGTTTATTTCTGAGGGACTTTGTGGAGCTTTGAGAAGACCATCCGAAGAGAAGCAGCCGAATGTTTGGTAGCAGACGGTGTTCCGTTTCTCAACGGAAGCAAAAGATGACGCCACGAAAAAGAGGCAGCAGAAGATAATCGATTTCATGGCAGCAACAAGCCGGTGGAACAAAATGTGCTGACCTTTGACCGACTTGAATTTTATCAGTTACTTCAAGATTACAGATAATAAAAGTACCGGAATATATACATGTACTAATACATTTGGACTCCGAATAGCAGGTTTAGTTCAGTACTCACGCACTCTTTTACATGTACGTGTTGATACAAAAAGAGGACGATTATCTTTAGTGTTATTTTTAGATTCAATTTCCAATATTTACATCCTTGCAAGTAATTAAATAACAAATTTTATTAATGCATTGAGAACTACATGTAATTGGTTTTACAAAATTTTGAAAACGGGAGTCGGTCTGACATGCAATTATTCTGTAAGTAACTCACTGGAAACTCAAAGGGAAGATTACAGATCTGAAACTAGATAGATCTGCAATTGTATTTCATTTAGATGTTAGTACCATCAAAATAACCTACATGCAGTGTTTGAAGATTCGACTTGCGACTAGGGTCTGGATAGTTCAAGTCTTTTCATTACTATAGCTGTAGCCAGTTACTTGTCAAAATATTTTTTGTATTAAAATGTCAAGTGAAGAAATATAATTCAAAAGACTATTTTCGTATAGTTCTTGATATAAAATTAGTAATAACATAAATATCGTCATGTGTTATCTTTGTAGACGGTCACGAAAGTAGTGCGTTTTAAGAAATCTTAAACTAGGATCTACAGCTAGTGACCTAATCTAAGACCAACAAGAAAAATTATCAAAAAAATTAAGGGCTATCTTAATAATTGCTCAAGTAAATGCTCACATATACTATCATTATGAGAATTTACATAAAATTATCAACAGTTAAGTTGACTGAACGATTAAGTTTCTATCTTAATAATTGCTCAAGTAAATGTTTCAAATTCATATACTATCATTATGTTATAAATTTGAATTTACCGGGTAGCAGTAAATTATAAATTTACAACTCGTTATAAAAATTTGAACATATATATACTGCAATCCTTAAATTTAACAACGGGACATTTATAGCAAGGCACAAGATTAAATGCATCCAACGTAACTAATATTGAACGAAGATTAATTGCACAATTTTTCGGTCTTTTCTTCAAGCACGAACATCTGTAGTTCAGAATACATTAAAACCTGGTAAAATTATGTATTTATCTGTATTTTTATTCTGGTATTTTAAACTTACAATAAAATAAGACAACAGTTGCAGGTGTATATGTTTTTATGTTGTTTGGCCTTTCGTGATTGTGCATTTTGTCATCATATACTACTGGGAAAATTTTAAAGAGTCGTCTTGGCGCATGTGTTGTCTCTGACAATAGAAGTTTTAAAGAGCAACAAAATGTACAGTTTGTAACATTAAATGTAAAAAATCATAGCTTATTATTTAGCTTAATTTTATCCAATCAGTATTGTTTTTCTTTCTTATATATAAGCCGTTCACCTAGTCACAGTTCA